TTTAGGAACAGAGAGGTGAGCTTCCTAAAGTATGGCAGGATATAGGTGTTCTATAGCATATAGGTAGAGCCAGGCGGTGGTGGGACACGCCTTTAATCCCAGTACTCTGCGAGGCAGAGGCAAGGGGATCTCTGTGAGTTCAAAGCTGTCCTGATCTACAGAGTGAGTTCCAGAATAACCAGAGGTGTTACACAAAAAAAGCGCCTATCTTGGAAAAAAGAAAAGACAAAAAACAAAACAAAAACAAACAAACAAACAACAAAAAAAAAACAAGAGGGAGAAAGAGAAAAAGAAGAAAAAAATATTATAGGTGAGTCTAGGTGTCCGCCCTTTCTGGAAGTCCTGAGAAATCTGACTATTGCCATGTGACCCAGAGGCAGCTAAGGGGGAGCATGCTTCTCCAGCCAAGCAGGAAAGAGAGCCTCCTTCAGCTCCTCAACCACCAGAAGCAGGGATGGGCTCTGGCAGCAGGGGCGTCCTAGGAGACTGGGCACTCACAGCACATGGCTTTGGCGTGGCGCCCTCTCCCCTGTCAAACCGGCACCCGTGTGCAGTGGCCCAGCCTAGCTCAGCACAGCATCTAAAGGTCAGCATCTCCCGCCTCCCTGTTAAGCAGCCCAAGTCAGCAACCTCCACGCCGGACCCGCCACCTTGCACAGTCCCTCAGATCTGCAGGACGGCGCTGCACCCTGCACCAACCTCCATGTCAGAGATCCAAGCCCAGCGCTGAGAAGAACACTCGTATAAGTTAGGGGAGACGGTTAAGTTAGAAGACTGAAAGCGGAAGTTCGTTATCCACAGCCCCTTCTTGTGATGTCATGGTGGTCGAGACTACATTTCCCATAACTCAGCGCGAAGGATTTCCGGGAACCCACAGAAGTTGATTCACTGCACCGGGGCGAAGTTAGAAAGGAAAATAGGAACCCCCATAGGGGATCGGGCTGTTTCAGTCCTGCTATCTCAGCACCCGCTGTTAGCCTGTGAGCCCAGCCTTTCACAGTGATGTTTACCACTAGTATTTCCTAGTTATTTCCGCTAATACTTGTGAGTTTAAAGCTCAGGTCTACTTAGTGTGGGATCAACTAACTGCAGCATGAAAACTAACATTGGTCTGTTTTACTAAAAATAAGGAAGCAGGAAGCTAATGTAGGACTAAGCATCATCTCTTCAAGATGCTTTTTGAAACCATCCTTGGTAATCCTGTCGCTCATACAGCGTCTCGGGTGTTTAAGACAGAAGACTCAGAAAATAAGGCTAACAAGGACAATTTATAGATGCGTTTTATCTAAACACACGGTAGAGAATGATCAGGGCTAGCTTAGGGGTAAGGGCTATGCCACTTGACTATAATGAAGGTGGCTTTGGTTTAATACCCAGTAACAAAAATAATCCTGTCCTCCTGTGCTTAGACACAGTGTGAGTCAGACGTGGATCAGACTCCAGGGCCAGCATAGGGTTCATATGAAGGCTGGAATCCACGCAGTGAAGAGCATGGGTCAGGGCCACGGAGATGGTTAAAGTCAATGAACAAAATGAAACGTACAGAACTCTGATGTTTACTAGCAGGGAATTTCCAGAATCCATCTAACGATCTTTCCATCTGTCTGTAAATTCTTTGCCCGCACTTAAACCCATTACCCTGTGTAATAAATATGATTCTGCCCACAACCACCTCACCCACTTCTCCCTGACTTTTCACAAACTCCGGCATATAGCCTCCACCATCTGTGCCCTGAGCACTTGATTTCCTCCTCTGCACCTCCCGCAAGGGGCACAGCTCCTGGGATCACACTGAAGTGTGCACCATCTACTGGTCCATCGTGTGCTGTGGGATTTCTCTCTGCCTTCAACTGATGTTCCTCATTGAATTTTCTCTCTCTCCTCTGATCCTGACATGGTTCATCTTTGACACTATCTTGAACACCAATGGTATCTGTCTTGACCCTCCCTCATTTGGGCTAAGCAGAACACTGGGATGATTCCTCCTCGAATACAAAGGTGTTAGAAATACATTCTTAGGACCATGGATTGCACTCACTGTCGTGAAGAAGCTACATGGAATCATGGAGTACTGAGAATATCCATCTCTTCTTTGGAAGATTTTGATGCATTTCATGCTTGAGACAAAGACACAAACCCCATCACAAGAAAGATTTCATGTTCCCATGATGGATACTGATTCACAGTGAAGCTGTTTCTGAACAGATACTGTGAGAAGTTTCATATTATTTCTTAATTCCAAGTATAATGTTCAGTCCAGTGATGCAGAACAGCTTCCCCGCCTTAGAGAAACTAGTTAACAATCAGTGCCTCCACCTGGATATTTGATTGACAAGTCTGTCTAGAATGAGGTCATGTCTGCTCTGTCTTAGTGTTGAAGTGAAGGCATTGTCAGCAACCTTAAGACTTACCATTTCTCAGCACAGCTTGGTTTCCAATATGGGTGTGTGACTGTGTGCATGTGTGTGTTTGAGCGTGTGCACATGTCTGTTACATGGAAACATGACTGGGAAGGTGCTGTGTCACATGAGACGTACTGAGCATTCATTGACACCTCTTCAGTCTGGTATAGGCATAAAAACAGACAGGAGGACCAATGGGACTGAGTCAAAGACCCAGATATTAATCCACACACCTTCGAGCACATGATTTTTGACAAAGCAAAAAATATACAGTGGAAAAAAAGAAAGCATATTTAACAAGTGGTGCTGGCATAACTGGATATCAACACATAGAAGAATGAAAATAGACCCGTATCTATCACCATGCACAAAACTCAAGTCCAAATGGATCAAAGACCTCAACATAAAGCCAGCCACACTGAACCTGATAGAAGAGAAAGTGGGAAGTACACTTGAACACATTGGCACAGGACACCACTTTGTAAATATAACCCCAGCAGCACAGACAATGAGAGAAACAATTAATAAATGGGACCTCCTGAAACTGAAAAGCTTATGTAAAGCAAAGGACACAGTCAACAAGACAAAACAACAGCCTACAGAATGGGAAAAGATCTTCACTAACCCCACATCAGACAGAGGACTGATCTTCACTTTTTAAACACAAAACAAAGCAAATCAAATAATTTTAGCTTATATGACCATGAGCAGAAAATGCTGTACTCTCCTCAGGGATCCAACATGAAGACATCCAGTCTAATCTATGCTTTTCTACAGAGCACCAAGGATAATCTAGAATTTCCATGAAATAAATAGAAATCAAATGTGCCCAAATCAAGAGTAGGAAAGTAAGATTATTCACTTTTACACATGACATTTTTCTATATGCAGTAAACACTAACATTTATGAATAATAATTCAGAAGTTTCAGGATATAAAAATCTACAAATAAAAATATGAAATAATTTTAATTGCTTCCAGAATAGCAATATGTCTCACAATAAAATCAAGGAGATAATTCCATACATGGGAGCACCAAAAATAATACATTCAAATAAATTAAAACCAAGAAAGTGAAAAACTGGCAAGATGGAAATTATAAAATATTGATGAAAAAACCAAACAAGACACAAATGGATTATAATACATATTCTGTATATGGACTTGAAGAATTTGGGGTTGAAGTACCCTCACTATCTAATCAGAGAAGTGTAATAAACAGTTTTACCCCGTTGTGAACACAGAATAAAAACATGTCTGAGCAACATGTTCCAATAGTGAAATCATGGCACAATTCATGAGACTTCCTACCCATGTTTGGACTGGATTGAAAGTACTGCGGTAGATGCTTATATTTGGTAGTGTGAGTTGGCTCATAAGCCTGTGCTGGGCTAGGGCAGAGCCTACTCCTATCACTGTGGTAATGGACAAAGTGATGAACTGTCCCAAGGTCATACCTACATAGTAGGCTGTGGTTCCCCTTCTTCCTCGGGTTCACCAGCCACCACCAGCAAGGAGGGAGGAAGTAGAGGCGGGAAACAGGGTCGGCTGTGGATGTGATGGAGAGAACCCTCCAGGAGTTGACTTCAATGAGACAAGGCAACTTTATTTCAGTGTATAGGAAACACACAGGATTGGGAAGCCCAGAGACAACCCTAGTTTGCATCACGTGGCATACTCCTATCATAAAGCTGGGTTAGTGGCAGCATTGTTCTATGAATTAGCTAGAGCATGCTACTCAATTACCATGTGTTCCACAGGGGCAGGGAGGGGAGCATTTGCAGGGAACTATGTCAAAGGTCATCCTTGAGATAAGTCAGGCATCCAGACCTAGAGACATCCTCTAAATAGGAGCAGGTAGAGAGCAGAAGGCCGCGCTGGAGAGTGAGTCCGCCATGTTGTTGAGCTTGAAGCAAGCTGCCAGTAGACTGCAACTTCTGACTAGCAGGGCCTCCCAACAGTTATTCCACATCAGAAAAAATTAATTCTGCAGTAGTTGGTATAAACACAGAGACTTATAGCTGGTCAAAATGCATGGATAGCAGATTGCTGTGTGCTTAGCTCTAATTGAGATACCTATGTCATATCTGACACTCAAGGCTTAGCAATCCTCAAGGTGGATAAGCTGGAAATAGTGTAAGAGCCAGAAACAGTAGGCGTGTGCGGCAGCTCTGCAGGACGTGCAGGGAATGTCTAGGTTGTCACAAGTGTAAACTTCAAGTGGTTTGACCACAATCACAAGATCTGTGGAAGAGTCAACAAAACACCGGTATTCGATAGTGCAGTGCTTTTAAGTGCCTCACCCACCTGATGAGGTATTGGTAATAAATGGTAGGGGAGCTAGTGGAGCAGTCTGAGGGGCTTCCTGTCCTTCAGTCAGTTGTCCAAATCTTGGCTCAAAACCTTAGCAGTAAAAAGATGCTGCATTTTTAAGAAAACGTTTGTAAAGAAAACGAAGGTAGGAATAGAGAGTAATTTATAAGGAAGGAATGGGGAGGAGATTTGACCAAAACAATTTTTATATCTATATGAAATTTTGAAAAATAAAAAATACATAAACTAAGTATAATACGACTTTTGAGAATATTCAAACCTGACCTGGCCAATGTGATTTCAGTCCATGACTTTGGGTGTTGCAAGCTCACAGAGGGATAACATCCTACTATGAAGGAATGATGAGCAGGCAAAGGAGCAGGATCCCTCAGCATCTCAGGGGCTGATGGTTTAGGATCTCCGCTTCAGTGTCAGCTCAGGGAAGAAAAAGTAGATGTCTCACTGGAGGTGAGATAAGATGGGGCCGGCCTCACCCTGCATCTTCTTCCTGGATTTGCTGTGTCTACAAGAGTACAAGAGAGGAATTATGAACAGCTGGCTTTTCTAACATCCTTTTCTTTCCTTCTGCATACATCGTAAATATGACTAGATTGACACTTATTACCAGTTAAAGCCACTAGTCAGAATAAATGAAGATCTCTACATACTGACAAACATGACATAACTATCACAAGTATTTTCACATCAAATCACGAGGTCTCTGATTTTATATAGATAACTTTGGAAAGCATGGAAGTTCACGTTGTTCAAGCACAATAAAAATGGGACACTTCAATACTGCATTGTCATTTCTAGATAGCTTCCCTAAATTAAAAAAATATGCAAGAAATCCCCAGAGTTAATCCTTCAAATATTATATAGACTCAAACCATAACTGCAGAACAATACCCATTCTTCTCAGAGGCACAGGAACCTTCTTTAAAATGGACTTCAGTACAGGCCAAAACCCAAGTTTTTTATACATAGAAAAAAACCGAGGTAATCTAGTACATCCTATCAGAGGACCCTGGTTTAAAATAGAAATGAAAAGAGAGAAACCTTGGAAAATGCAGAAATTGGTGACTATATTTTCGAATGACTAATGGTTCATTGAATAATTCAGAGAAGTCAGTCCCAGGTGGAATTGTTATACTGAAAACTTCTTAATTTAAATATTAGAGTTCTCTAGTAAGCAATCTAATCATGCAATTCGAATATGGGGAAAACATGGGGGCAGGGCAGCAGTGGCATGTGCCATTAGTCCCAGCACTTGGGAGGCAGACACATGCAGATCTCAATATAAAGAATTATTTAGCCTGCATGCCAGAAGAGGGCACTAGATCTCCTTATAGGTGACTGTGAGCCATCATGTGGTAGCTGGGAATTGAAATCAGAACTTCTGGAAGGGCAGCCAGTGCTCTTAACCTCCGAGCCATCTCTCCAGGCCTGATTAATTCTTTATATTTTCTTATCATGTGCATAAAGGTTATTTTAAGGTCCGCACCAGGCAGGGCCCTACCTACACAGATCCTGTGGAACACCCTGCTTTCCTCCCTCTTCTGAAGATTCTCCTCTACTCCCAACCCCTCCCTGTGCCTAGGTCTCAGGTCCCAATACCCAGAAACACATTTTACCTTGATGCTCCCATGCCCATACCTATCAGGACCCAAGTTGATCTTCCTAATGGCAATACACGGCCACCTCACTCCCTTAAGATCCGAAGAGGAGAAGGAAACCAAGGAACAAAACACGTACTAAATTAGGACAAGACCAGATATCAGCACCTAGAATAATAATCTTCCCAATACCAGATGCCCAGATGTCAGCTCAAAAACACAATGAAAAACAGCCAGGACAATATGTCTCCACTATAGCAGCAAATCCACCACAACAGGCCCTGAAGAGAGTTGAGGCACAAATAAAAGACCTTAAAATAACCTTTATGCACATGATAAGGTCCTTAAAGAAGAAGCAAATAAATACGTTAGAGAAAGAAAAGAGACAGAAGCCTGGTGTCTTCAAACAGCAGGCTGGCTGGGCTGACTGGCTGACTTTTCCTCTGCCAGCTGGTCCCTCCTGTTGATGGATCAGGTCTACAAATTCAAGGAAAATGACATTGGAGAGACAAGACTGAAGTAATTTTAAACCCAGGCCCTATTTTGTGAGAATCTAACCTAGCAGGCACCCCATGCCAGGCTTCCCACCCCGTGTATCTGGAACTTCCCAGAAAAGCCACAAATGGCCCCCAAACTGCCTGGCTGCAGTAAGACCCAAGGACAGCCAATCAGAAGCTAGAAAAACAAGTTTCTACAGTTACCAGGTGTTTTTGTGGAAAGTTACAAAAGTTCTCTCTTGGATTAGAGCCAACTGCAACAGAAGTATATCTCCCACCCAATCCCGTAACACCAAGGCATGCAGATATAGCTCCCTGCTTGCGGTTTTTCCCTTTAAAAACCCCTTGCACTGTGAGCTAGGGTCCCTCCTCCCTCATCCTCTGCGTTGGTGTGTAGGATGAAGCCCCTGCTTGGGCTTTATTATTTATTATTATTTATTGTAAGGCATGGTCTCGTTGGGGATCTCCCAACTCAGGCATAACAAGTTACTTCAAGTTGTGTCTCATCACCCTCGCCCTGCTTACCAACTCAGCCTGGGAGGGGGAGAGATTCCTGAAAACCCTCCAAAGCCCTCCCTGGGGAAACAAGATTCAAGCTCCTAAGTTGTCACAATTCAGCAGAGGGTCCCTCTGTGTGCCCTGCTGTGTTTGGTTTCCTCGGCCCTAATAAAAACCCTTCTATTACGGTGGATTCTCCCCTGTGGTTTGGTGTTTTCCCCTGATGCTACATGTTGCAGTTGAGATTTTTTTCCCCTTTAATTCTTCATCTGGCAGAAAAACAATAACAAACCAAAAGTGATCAAGACTCCCTTAGGCTGTGACACCACAACAGCAGAAGGTGCGCTCCACACTCCAGCCCCACAAGACTTCGTTTTCTTCTGTTGTGTTGCTGTTTTTAGTGTTGTGTGCTAAAACCCAGGGCTCCCCGACTTCAAGGAATGCGCCCCATTACCCAGCTACCTCCCATTCCTTTTTGTTCTTTTCATTTCAATACAAGGCTTGTTTGCTTTCTTCCTTTGTTTCTTTTCTTTTCTTTCTTTCTTTCTTTCTTCCTCTTTCCCTCCCTCCCTCCCTCCCTCCTTCTCTTCCTTCCTTTTCTGAGACAGGGTTTCTCTGTGTAGCCCTCCCAGGTGGTCCTGGAACTCACATTGTAGACCAGGCTGGTCTTGAACTCACAAAGAGCCACCTGTTTGTCCCACCATTTCCCAGCATGTCCAAGGCTTTCTTAAACTGTCCAGATCAGCCTTGAACTCACCCTGGAGATAAGGCATCCCTGGAGCTGTGATCCTTGGGCCTCTGCTCGTAAGAGGCAGACACCAGGTGGCCAACATGCCTCTGCTAATATTTCATTTTAAAGGCTTAGCAGTGACTTTCCATGTGAATTTCTTCTAATTATCTCAAAATAAAAAGAATCAAAATGAATGTTTTACTCAGGAGTAATTTTCTATATCAAGCAGACCTGTGTGTGAAATCACAGGTAAAGTGACCAAAAATAACTAATAAATGTAATAGACATTACTGTAAGTTCTCCACTCACATCCAAACACCTTAAGAGCAGCCTGACACCCAGCGTATCTCCCTCTAGCGGCAGAGACTGCAAGTTTCATTTCTTTCTCATGGTAACAGGCCTTCTCCGACTCCTGGAATCTCTGTATATAGTCACTCACCCGTTGTGACTTCACAAGCAAGGATAGTCGAGGCACCTTCTGACTTCTTCCTGCACATGTTCTACCCTCTCACAGTTTACCTCAGGTAAAAGCACCAGAACATAACACCTGTTGGTATTACTATTACTATTAATAGTTTTAATTAGTTATATTAATGGTTTAGTTTATTGTGTGGTTTTTATTCATTGATCTTTATTTCAGAGCATGTTGTCATTCAGGGATGTGGCTATTGATTTCTCTGCAGAGGAGGGCAAATGTCTGGACTCTACTCAGTGGAGTCTGTACAGGGATGTGATGATGGAGAATTACAGCATCCTGGTGTTCCTGGGTGAGGATCGTGTCCAGAGTGAATTCCTAAGTCACTGTCTGTCTGTAACCTCCTTCTCTAGACCCTCTCATGGGAGCTTGCACTTTATTTTTTTTAAGATTTATTTATTTATGTATACAGTGTTCTGCCTGCATGTATGCCAGCCGGCCAGAAGAGGGCACCAGATCTCATATGGGTGGTCATGAGCCACCAATGTGGTTGCTGAAAATTGAACTCAGGGCCTCTGGAAGAGCTACCGGCCCCCTTAAGCACTAAACATCTTTCCAGCTGTCTCTGCAGTCATTTATTGTGTCCTTTTCTCCCCTTATAAGTACAATAGCAGGATAAAAGTGTTAATTCTCTTTTTCGTCCACAGGACTTTCTTTCTCCAAGCCATTACTGGTCAGATTTCTGGAGAAAAAGCAAGAGCTTTGGCATGTGAAGAGACAAACAGCAGCTGCGCCCCGAGGTGTGTAGGAATAAGGGGTCAGAGGGCAGAGTGGGAGGTCAGATCCAACAGAAGGGTCAGAGGGCAGGGTGGGAGGTCAGATCCAACAGAGGGGTCAGAGGGCAGGGAGGGAGGTCAGATCCAACAGAGGGGTCAGAGGGCAGGGAGGGAGGTCAGATTCAACAGAGGGGTCAGAGGACAGGGTGGGAGGTTAAATCGAACAGAGGGGTCAGAGGGCAGGGAGGGAGGTCAGATCCAACAGAGGGGTCAGAGGGCAGAGAGGTCTTATCCAACAGAAAGCCAGGCTTTACCGTGTACATTGAGATGTCGTCTTCCTGTGGAAGTCATTTTGTAGCTGTCTCACTCTATGACTTTCGCTGTCAAGGAAGGACATCTTGCAATTGCTTATGATGCTTTAAATCTCTAAGCGTTGAGTTCTGCTTAAATTTTGAGTGATTGCCAAAGCACTTCATTTTGGTAAGAGTCTACATTGCAATAGTATTTGCACTATTTCCTACACCTCTGAAAATTTGCACACATTGCTGAAGATAGACATGTAAAGCCTTTGTATTCAGTAACACGTACGTTAAAAGTTTAATTTTTTGAGATTATATCATTTCCTCCCTTTACTTTCTTCCTTCTAAACCCTCCCATATACTCCTTGCTCTCTTTCAAATTCATGGCCTTTTTAAAATTAATTTTTGTTAGATGCATACATGTATATATGGTTACATTCCTAAGTAAGCTGCTCAGTCTGTATAATGCTACTTGTAAGTATGATTTCAGGACTGAACACTTGGTATTGGATAACCAGATAGTATGCTCTTCCCCGAGGAAGACTCTTTCTCCTATCCACGTTTCTTGGTTCATCTTGGTTTCTTGGTACGTCTCTGTGCAGGGTTGAGGCCTTGCGGGCCTCCCCGTCCACTGTTACATGTCTATTTGTTGTCCTTGTTTAGCTCTTGTTCCAACTGTCAAGTTGGTGAGACTTTGAGTGTGACTTCACCCATTACTAGGAGACACTATCCCGCAGTAAACTCCCTAATCCCCGGGCTCTTAAAATTTTTCTCACCCTCTCCTCTGCAGGCCCCTGAGTCTGAGGTGCAGGAGTTGTTGTGGAGATGCAGTCCCTGGGACTAGGCTCCACAACCCTACATTTTGATCATTTGAGGTTTTCCATAGCGGTCTCTTGTTTGTTGCGAAGAGCAGTGTCCTCGATGAGGGGTGAGGACTGCACTCCCTGTGGGCATAAGGACAGACGTTTAGAATGTAGCCTTAGAGATGATGCTAGTTTAGAAGAGTGGTGGCTGTAGGTTATTCTCCAAGATCCATGATTTTCTTACCCTGGGTAGTTGACTAGGTTTCCTATACCAGGCATGACCGCTCTTGTTGAGTGACTCATGCCTGGTGTTCAGGGTTTTTACATGAGATTTGTGATTTGCTTGTCTATTTTATTGTGTATTATATATTGATTTGCATATATTGAGCCAATTTTCCATTGGTAGAATGAAGTCAGATATAAGGTCAAAGTTTTACTATAGTTAATTTTCTTAAAAACTCTATATTAATTATGTCTGCGTGTATGGTGTGTGTGTGTTTCTCTCTCTGTGTGTGTACTTTTGAATTTTGGGTTACAGTGGCTCCTTAGAATGACTTCGGTAGTGTGTGTCTTTTCCTATTTGTGGAAGGGGTGGAAAGTGTTGATACTAGATATTCCTTGGAAGTTTTAATTACTGCGTCAGTCTCCTCAGTGTTACTGGTCTGTTTAGGCTGCTTATATTTTCTGGTTTTAGTTTCACTGGCCATGAGTGTCTATAAAAGGATCTATTTCTTCTAAGCATTTCTGAAGTTTTAGGTGCACAGATTTTAGTGTATCCTGTGATCATCTCTTTGTTCTGATTGGTTGGCCAGTGGATGGATACAGTCATGTGAGCTTTCATAAAGGACCACGCTGGTTAATTCTCTATGTCCTTAAGTCTCTGGAATTATGCTCTGAATTTTATCATTTTTATTGCTCATTTCTTATTATCATCTGTATTTCTGTTTGGCTTCTTTTTCATCTTGGAATTGCAGCATAGATGTTTTCTTCATTCAGATCTCGTTGCTGTTTCAGTGAAGAACTTTTCAGTATAACTAGTCCACTTCGAGCTGACTGTGCAATCCTTCAGTGCCACTGTTCATTCAAAGGTGCATCATTTAATCACCGGTTACATGTGCATTTTCCTTGGCTATTCTTTTTATTCCTTTCCAGTTTCAGTACAATGTGTTCTGCTAGGGTGCACAAGACTATTTCTTTTCTTCTGTTTATGTTGGCTTGGTTTGTGGCATGAAATGTGGTCCATAGAGAAGATATCTATGCCAGTGAGCAGAATGTGTATCCTTATCTATTGTGTGGAATGTTCTGCAGTTATCTTGTAAACCCAGTCCATACCTTGGAGGGTCCTTTGCACATTGTTTTGAGGACCTGTCTAGATGTGAGAATGCAATCTTGAAATGTCCTGTTTTCATCTTCCCTGAACTGTTTGGTCTTCCATGTCTGTAGTGACATCTGATGGTTTTTGTAGAAACATTTGTGTTAGTTGTGTCCATTTTTATGTACATGTAGTGGCTTTCTTCATCTCTTCTGATTAGTTTTCTGTCTGTAGTCTCCTCATCCGTTAGGATTACTCATTCAGGATTTTGTAGCTTTATTTGCTTTATGGTTTGATGACCTGGTCCAACAGATCATTCTTCATGGACCAGGAGATCAGAAGATAAAGAGGAATGTAGAGAAGACTGGGTTGGCTAAAGAAACTCCATTTTCTGCTAGGCAGGTGCCCACTAGACATTCGTCTCTGGAAGATAAGTTTCCAGGAACCCTACACACAACAAATGTACAGCCATGACTATCTGAGTGTTGGGACATGACTGACTGCTTTTTGGCTTCTGTAACTGCTTGTGCCGAAATCTGAAGACAGATCTGAGGTCACTTTGACTACCTAACCTTGGCAGAGCAGAGCAGCTCTATGGCCGCTTGTGTAGATGCTCAAGGTCTTCTTGTGGTTTTGCCTTTAAATATCCTTCCTTCACTCCCCTTCAGATGACAATCTCATGTCTGTCAGAGAGTGTTGCTCTGCTAGCAGCTTTAACAAATTTACCTAAATTATGTAGTTCAGATCATGGTCTTTTCCCATGGGTCACAAACTCCATAACAAAGATAAGAAAGTTTGGGGTCAGATGGTCTTGCATAAGCTACATCTTATTCCAAGCAAACTTATTAAGAAATATGACATTTTATATACTCTTAGCAGAGGGATAAATGGACAAAGTCAGCAGAAACTATTGTACAGTGGGAAAAAGTCAGCAGGAATCTAAACAATGTTGAACAAAGGGAGCACACAGTATCTCAGGAATTTTACAGACAGAGCACACAAGAGTCTTAGGACTGGCAACCACATACCTGTGGGAAGTGTTGGGGTCTCAGGATCTGAAGACACAAGTCCCCCAAGGTCATGGCCCCAAGCTCTTCCACGCGTATTTCTGGTCTTGGAGAAGGAACTGTGTTTCTTCTTTATACAGCAAGTCTGCAGGGAAAAGCTCCCCATGGTCTGGCTCTGAGCCAATACTGACTCTGCCAAGCATGTACCTGGTTTTGAGGAGGCCAGGGCCTTTTCCATGTATTGGGACCTCAGGGAATCCCTTGGTTGATCAGATTTGATCACCAAGCAAAGAGAATTATCACTTAGGAGGAAAGGTCATCTGAGGATAATAATCACTGAATATTAAATGGAATAATAGTCATGACTCACTTAATAATCAAGCTGGCTTTGGAGACATCATTTAGGGGTTGTTTATAATTGGTATAGGGTTGGGGTGGAAATTATGTAGGCTCAGGGATCTCTTTGAAAAAGAAAAAGGTAAATTGGATGGGATAATAGATTCGTGTGAGCTTACTTACATTAATAGTACACTGAGAAATAGAGTGAATACATGTGAGCTATCAGTTATAGGCAATTTACATTGATATAGATTCTTGTATATTGATACAAACTTAAATTATATTAAATAAGTTCCTATTTTCATCTACTGTTTGTTGACTTAGGCAAAGTTATTTTGTCATATTGTATGCATGCATGCTTCTATATCTCTGCTTAACAAGGGTTCTGTCCTTCTTTAAATCCAAGCATGTTTTTAACAGAAAAATTCAGAATTTCTGTCTCATACCACAAGCTGTCACATTTAGGGCAGAATGAAGAAAGGATTTAGAAAATTTTTTACTTTATCCACACCTATTTTTGTCTCTATTGTACCTTTCATTGAATATATGTCTGTATAAAGTGTTTAAGTTTTGCACAAGGAATAATGAATTTTCCCGCAGCAATCTTTGAAGATTCTAGGAAGAAGACGGGATCCCACAACAACAAGCCAACCTGGTTGATGTGATATCATGATGCTGATAGCACTACTATAAGACCTATTTTGGGTACCAGGTTCTCAACATGGTTCCAACTTGGTTACCTGAAATGGTGCACTTTTTTTTTTTTTTTTTTTACAATGTTCTGGTCAGAACTCAAAATAGGAACTTCAGAAAAACCCTACCGAATACTCAGGGGTTATTTACAATTATACCTCACAGTAATCTTGAAACTTAACCATCATTTTACTTTCGCAGGATCCCATAGAAATAACACCCCTATGATAGCTGGAAGTAATTCTAGAAGACATCGTTCTCCAACCCAACAAAGTTTGTCCTCAGGGTGAGAGACATCATTTAGGGGTTGTTTATAATTGGTATAGGGTTGGGGTGGAAATTATGTAGGCTCAGGGATCTCTTTGAAAAAGAAAAAGGTAAATTGGATGGGATAATAGATTCGTGTGAGCTTACTTACATTAATAGTACACTGAGAAATAGAGTGAATACATGTGAGCTATCAGTTATAGGCAATTTACATTGATATAGATTCTTGTATATTGATACAAACTTAAATTATATTAAATAAGTTCCTATTTTCATCTACTGTTTGTTGACTTAGGCAAAGTTATTTTGTCATATTGTATGCATGCATGCTTCTATATCTCTGCTTAAGACATTTTGTATATTGATACAATTTTAGTATATATTTATCATATTACAATATACATTTGTACCTCTGATCAAGATACTTATACATTGTTTACATTTTGAGGTCATTGTCCTAATTTGTTACACAGTTATTTAAAGATTGTTTAATATTCCAATATGAAGCCTTAGTCTTTAATTTATATAGATATTAAGAATTATAGGTCAATAGTCATCCATGTTTGTCATACTTTTTGGATACATATAGATTGTATTCCACATAGATAGTTAATCTTCAACCACTTCTAAGAGTTGTAGAATAGGGCATTTAAATAACTTAGGGCTCTATTGTCATGAGACACGATTGTTCTGGGCAGCACCAATCCTTTTCCTAGAGAATGTTGAGCACTGAAGACACTACAATTGGAGCTTGTTTTCTTCTTGGCAAAACTGGCTTTTGGGCAAGGAAATGCCCATGCATCAACTACTGACCAAATGCACGATGTCCAGACAGGACAAGAAGGATACAAGAAAAAAGACTGTCAAATCTTGCCAAGACAGGGTGACACAGTTTTGAAAAATTTCTTGCCTTTGATAATGGACTGTCAGTCACTCTATGCCTTATCCAAACTTCGCTGCTGCAACACTGCAGATGAGACGTTGGGTGGTTGCCCAGGTAGCCAGTTTTCTCTGCTTTTGTTGCACATTTTGGAAGTTGCTTGATTGCACCTCCTGCATACTCAAGTAATATTATTTCCCTTCTCAGGTCTTTGATGGGATTGAAGACTAGATAGTTAAGGCAGACTGTGGTGGTGCATGCCTTTAACCATAGCACTCAGGAGGCAAAGTCAGGTGGATCTCTGTGAGTTCAAAGCTAGACTGGTCTACAAGAGCTAATTCCAGGACAGACTCCAAAGCTACAGAGAAACCCTTTCTTGAAAAAAACAAAACAACAACCAAAAAGATTATATAGTTGTAATTACTTTCCTCTTATGACTTTGCCAAGTTATTTATAAGACTTAAACTCCCTAGGATAGGATAATTATTGAAACATTTATCACGTTTCTTCTTTGACATTGTTTATGCTGGTTCTTATTCTAATTTTTATACCCTTTATTTGTTTTTATTGTATATAATTTTGTATCAAGCTTAGAACTCTCTTATTTAAACAAAATGGAGAGGTGCTTTTGGAAATCCTACAGCCAGTAGCCTTTAAGTTACCCCCACACCTGGGCATGACCTCTTATACTATAAATGCTGATGTAAAGCATGCATTTTCTCTCTCTTCCAGCTACTGTATTCAGCTCCTGTTCCGTTTGTGCAGAGGACTGTGATCTGTGAGTCTACCCCTAAATAAAAAACCCTTTATTAAACTCGATTCTGAGCAAGTGCAGATTTCTTCATTTTAACATTTGTATTATGGACCCAAACAGCTTTAGTAATCAGTCAATAAAAGCAACAAATACACAGCAGGATATGCCACAGTGTCACCCCTATCTGAAGGGTTTCTATACAGAATATTTTTGATATATTTTAGGTAATATAAAAGTATAAAACATAATATTTCATGAATATTTGGACACTTGTATTATTTCACTGCAATTTGAACTACCTTGTCTTGAGAAACACTCGAAAGATTATTAAAGAGTTTTTTATTTTGAACATTTTTGGCAGTATTGGCATTTTTCTTGAGCATGAATTATCAGGTGTTTCAAAAGTTCTAAGTAAGTGCAAAAGACTTGGCACACTCTTCACAGGGTTTCTCTCACAAGTGTATTCTTTGATGTTGTTTAAGACCAAAGACGGCTAGAAGGCCTTGTCATTCTCCACACTCACAATGCCTCTCTCCAATATGAATAATCTGGGCTAAGAACATGCTACGAAAGCTCTAAATTCTTTGTCACAGTCTTTACACTTGTAGGGTTTCTCTCCAGAATGAACTGATTGATGTTCCTTAAGTTTTCTGGTATAGTTAAATAGTTTTCCACCTTCTTCATATTTGGAAGGTTTCTTCCAACATGAGTGAATTTGTGCTGAGTTAGGTATAACATTTTACACAAGGCTTTTCCACATTCTTCAAACTTGTAGGGTTTCTTTCCAGAATGGATTATGAAATGAGCAGAAGGAATCTGTGACATTTTAAAGATCTTGCCACATATTTCATATTTGTAGGGTTTCTCTCCTATATGAATGCTTTTGTGTTCTGAAAGTAATGATGGAAAACGGGAGACTTTGCCACGTACTTCTCAGTTTTAGGGTTCTTTCCTATATGAATGCTCATGTATATAGGTAGTCCTGATGAGTAATTGAAGGACATGCCACACATTTAACACATGTATGATTTCTCTCCTATATGAAAGCTCTTCTGTACAGAAAGTCATGATGGAACAGAAGCCTTTACACATAGTTGTATGATTTTTGCCTGTATGAATTCTCCAAGTACTTTAAATTAATGTGCGAACCAATCCCACACAAAGGAGTGGGATTCAAAGGAGTATTTATTTTAGGGGGAAAACATACAGAACACTGACAGCCAGAAAAGGAGTCTAATCGCTGGAGCGAGAGCAGGAAGCAAGAGAGCTAGCAGAGTGCCGCCACTATTTTTCAGAGAGAAATAGACCACGCCCCAGTGGGCTGGTATTTCAGCGGCAATTGACTGAAGGAGCGAAAGGCGGTCCACAGCACCAAACAATGATGCAGCAGGGAACCATGACACACACTTCCCACTTCCAGGGTTCTATCCTGTATGATTTCTCTTATGTCTAGAGAGTGCTGATGGAGAATCGAAATCCTTGCCACACTTTACAATTTTAACGTCTCTCTCCTGTATGAATGCTCATATATTTAGAAGGTTATGACAGATCAGTAAAGGCCTGACCACATACTTCACATTTGTAGGGTTTCTCTTCTATATGAATCCGCTTGTGTACAAAAAGTTGTGACGGAATATAGAAAGCTTTGTCACATACTTGACACTTGAAGGGATTCACTCCTGTATGAATGTTCTAGTGTTCAGAAACTTGTGATGCAACACAGAAGTCTTTGACACATACTTGACTCGAGAAGGGTTTCTCTTATGTATGAATTTTTTTGTGTGTATAAAATGCTGATGGGCTTTTGAAGGTTTTGCCACATACTTCACATTTGGAGGGTTTCTCTCCTGTATGAATAGTCCTGTGTATACAAAGTATTGATGGAGAACGGAAAGTCTTAGCACATTCTTCACACTTATATGGCTTCTTTTTTAGATTAATCAATCAACTTTAAGTATTTTGCAACCACTGACTATTTTGACTAAACTCATGTATAAATGGCACATGGAGCATAGAAATATCTATCTCTTCGCTATAAATTCTTAATCTAAGGATTAATAAATTCATTGGTATGGTGAAAAAACCATAGCAAAAATTTAGCTTGATGCTTATAAAAATATGCTGATAGTTAAACCTATTAATAAGAAATTTTTATTTACTACAGTATACTACACATATGATTCAACTCTTGTTCAGGAATATAGGACTATAACAAAACACTGCAATAATAGAAATTTTTAAATAGTAGTGACGTGGTTTGCTTCCATCTGGACTGATGACCTCATCAGGATGAAAGCAACCATATGTTCAGAAGTCATCTTTAGAAAAATTGAAGAACACATGCCATATGACTTCACCATCATTTGGATTGAGATGACCATGATGTATAAAACCAACTACGCAGCACCTATAAAACTGACTAGTACAACTGTCCCCTTTATGTTTTATTGTAATTTTTTATAGACCAAACTGTCAACAGCAGGTCTCTAATGTATTTTAGATTAGAATGGATTTTATATACCATTAAATTCCTAAGGTGATTATTCAAGTTGACAAAAAGCTGACTGAGAGATGTATGTCAATAGTTTAGGTCATTGTTAAGTGTAAGTTTAACCACTTATCTCTTTGTTGACACTAGACTTCTAAAATTTTTAAAATAAAAAACAAGATATGTTTTATAAGTGAGAACTAAATTCCTAATGTCTACTCAGGCTAGCAGAAACCAACGTAAAGAAATATGACTAGCATTTTTGTCTTTATGAACTACAACTGCATTTTAAAGTTTACTTCAATGCTAAGGGATCTTGAATTCAAAATTTTAAGGCTCAAGCTTAACAGGGATAAAACTGTAAAATCCTCACCTTATAGAAGCTACTAACTTATTATAAATTGTGAAAGATAATTAAAACATACACGTTAATGGTCAGTCACCTTAGAGATGATTCAATTCTTCCATGTGCTCAAAACTATGTAGTTAAACGTAGCAAAAATGTAATTCATTTATGAGAACAAGTTTTAGTCTTCCATTCATATTTTCAAATAGAGAAGTAAGTATATACAAAGAAAGTTTGTTTAAATTCAGGCATACTTAATAGATGGTCCTCAAAATCCATAGAGATCCATTGAATATGACATTTAAAATATTTATTAATTGACACAGAGGCCATCTGGATTATACTTCCTGCTCTAACTTTTCCTTCTCAGATCTCTGATGTTGAAGGAAAACTGTAGAGTTATCCACTTAACAGCAACAACAACAAAATAAATGAATAAATACCATGCCTCTTTATTTTGGATTTTTGAGACAGGGTTTCTCTGTAGCTTTGGAGCATGTCCTGGAACTAGCTCTTGTAGCCCAGACTGGCCATGAACTCAGAGATCTACTTACCTCTGCCTCTCAAGTGCTATGATTAAAGGTGTGCACCACCACAGTCTTGCTAATACTGATGTTCTTTCCTGGCACAAAAATTTAAAATAACGAAGTAATCAGATTTGAGATAGAAATGAAAAAACTAATAAGGTGTAAAAGGAATTTATAAAAATTTTAAAAGTATTTCCTCTGGGCAATATGATGTTTAAGAAATGCAAAGATAACGGCATGTTCTTGAAATTTCCTTAAAGGCCAAAAAGGTTGAATAGAAATTACAAGTTTAGAAGTTAAATTTTCTTCAGATTTTCATCTCTAGTTATTTTTGGTATAGCCTGAGAATCTGTTCCATCAGACAATCTTCAGAATGCAGTAAAAATGAACGCCTGCCGGCTAGTTTTTCCTCCACGGAACACTTATGCATTGAGAGTGTTCACATTTTTTTTTTATCATTTACAGTATCAGCTGCATATATACTTTAATATTTACTTGAAAAACTTTCAGAATTTTCTATTTTTCTCACAACTTCTATATATCCTGTTATCTAATATGAAGGAATTCCTGAGCTCCAAATAAAATTGTCATAAATATTAAAGACTTATAAGTGATCAGACACTGGCAAGGGAGGAGATTAAAGAAGGCTAACAAACACCTACACTATAAGAAAGGAATCATTTTCTACAGTATAAAGGCATTATTTTATTCCAAGCTTCTAGTACACAACTGGTAATAAAGAGATGACAGCTTGATCTGGAAACTATTTCTCTCTACGTATGGAACCTTCTCTGCGGTCAGTTTTGCAGAGATCTGTGATAAAATTCACTATGCAGTTATTAAGAGACCATGGATGCCAGCCCAGACTATTATACCCAGCAAAATTTTCAATCACAAGAAGGACAAAACAAGAATTCCATGAAAAATCTAGATTTCACCAATACCTAGCCACAAACCCAGACCTACATAAAATACAAGAAGTAAAACTCCAATCCAAGGAAGTTAGCTACACCTACAAAAACACAGACAATTGATGGACTCATGGTGGCAAATACCAAAGAAGGGAAAATGCACAAATTAACATCACCAATAATGAAAACTAAATTAACAGGAGATAACAATCACTGGTCATTACTATCCCTTAATGTAAATGGACTCAACTCACCTATAAAAAGGCACAGGCTAACAGATTGGATACAAAAACAGAATCCATCCTTCTTCTGCATACAAGAAACACATCTCAACCTCAAAGACAGACATTGTCTCAAAGTAATGAGTTGGGAAAAAATACACCAATCAAATGGACAAGCGGGTGTAGCTATCCTAATATCTAACAAAATAGACTTCAATTAGTCAAAAGAGACAAAGAAGATCATTTAATATTAGTCACAGGAAAAATCCATCAAGAAGAAATTTCAATACCGAACATCTATGCCCCATATACAAGGGCACCCTCATATGTCAAAGAAACACTTCTAAAGTTTAAATCATACATTAAACTCCACACACTAATAGTGGGAGACTTCAACACTCCCCTCTCACCACTGGACAGGTCATTCAGACAAAAATTGAAAGAGATATAAGAGAACTAACAGATGGTATGACTAAAATGGACTTAACAGACATCTATAGAATATTCCATCCAAACAGAAAAGAATATACCTTCTTCTCAGCACCTCATGAAACCTTCTCAAAAATTGACCACATAGTCGGCAACAAAACAAACCTCAACAAATACAAAAAAGTTGGAATAACCCAATGTACCTTATCAGATCACCATCGTTCAAAACTAGAAGTCAACAGCAATACTAATTCCAGAAAACCCACAAACACATGGAAATTAAACAATGCTCACCTGAATCATCAATGGGTCAAAAATTAAATAAAAGGGAAAATTAAAGACTTCCTAAAATTCAATGAAAATGACCATACAACATATCCAAACTTATGGGACACAACGAAATCAGTGTTAAGAGGCAAGTTCATAGCACTAAATGCCTACATAAAGAAGCTGGGAAAATTTCACACTAGTCAATTAACAGAACATTTGAAAATTTTATAACAAAAAGAAGCAACCACACCTAAGAAAACTAGATAGCAGGAAATAATCAAATTGAGAGCTGAAATCAACAAAATAGAAACAAAGAAAACATTATAAAGAATCAATGAGACAAAGAGTTGGTTCTTTGAGAAAATCAACAAAATAGATGAATCTTTATCCAAACTAACCAAAAGGCAGAGAGAAAATATATCCAAATAAACAAAATCAGAAATAAAAAGGGGGACATAACAACAGACATGGAGGAAATACAGAGGATCGTCAGGTCATATTTTGAAGACCTGTACTCCACAAAATTGGAAAACTTAAAGGAACCGAACAACTTTCTGGATAAATATCACTTACCAAAATTAAATCAAGATGAGATAAGCAAATTAAACAGACCTATAACTGCTGAAGAAATAGAAACAGTCATCAAGTCTCCCAACCAAAAAAAAAAAAAGCCCAGGACCAGATGGTTTCAGCTCAGAATTCTATAAGACTTTCAAAGAAGAACTAATGCCAACACTCCTCAAATTATTCCACACAATAGAAACAGAAAGAACATTGCCAAACTCTTTTTATGAGGCTATAATTACCCTGATACCCAAACCAAAGAAAGACATTACTAAGAAAGAGATTTACACACTCAAGAACATTGATGTAAAAATACTAAATAAAATACTGGCAAATCAAATCCAAGAACACATCAGAACCATCATCCATGACCAAGTCGGCTTCATCCTACAGATGCAGGGATGGTTCAACATACAAAAATCTGTCAACATAATCCACCATATAAACAAGCTGAAAAATACAAACCACACGATCATCTCATTAGATGCCGAAAAACCTTTTGACAAAATACAACATCCCTTCATGATAAAGGTCTTGGAGCGAGCAGGCATACAAGGAACATACCTAAACACAATTAAGACAATATACAGCAAGCCAACAGCTAACATCATACTAAATGGAGAAAAACTCCCAGTGATTCCACTGAAATCAGGAATAAGACAAGGTTGTTCACTCTCTCCATATCTATTCAATATAGTTCTTGAGGTCCTAGCTAGGGCAATAAGACACCAAAGGGAAATCAAGGGGATAGAAATTGGAAAAGAAGTCAAACTCTCACTGTTTGCTGATGATATGATAGTTTACATAATTCATCCCAAAAATTCTACCAAGGAACTTCTACAACTCATAAACACTTTCAGCAATGTAGCAGGATACAGGATTAACTAAAAAAACTCATTAGCCCTCCTGTACACAGATGATAAAAGGGCTGGGGAAGAAATCAGAGAATCAACACCCTTCACAATAGCCACAAATAGCATAAAATACCTTGGAGTAACTCTAACCAAACAAGTGGAAGACTTGTATGACAAGAACGTTAAATCTCTGAAGAAATTGAAGAAGACACCAGAGAGTGGAAAGATATCCCATGCTCTTGGGTAGGCAGAATTAATATAGTAAAAATTGCAATCTTATCAAAAGCAATCTACAGATTCAACACAATGCTCATCAAAATCCCAGCAAAATTCTCGAAAGAATGGTAGTCAACTTTATATGGAAAAGCAAAAAACCCAGGATAGCCAGAAAATTCTGTACAATAAAAGAACTTCTGGAGGCATCAAAATCCCTGTCAGGGCCCACAAATCCCTGACTTCAAACTCTACTACAGAGCTACAGTACTGAAAACAGCCCGGTAGTGGCATAAGAACAGATAGGAGGACCAATGGAACCAAACAGAAGACCCGGACATCAATCCGCACATCTTGGAACACCTGATCGTTGATAAAGAAGCAAACAAAAAATCAAATGGAAAAAAGAAAGCACATTTAATAAGTGGGGCTGGCATAACTGGATATCAACATGTAGAAGAATGAAAATAGATCATACCAATCACCACGCACAAAACTCAAGTCCAAATGGATCAAAGACCTCAATATAAAGCCAGCCACATTGAACTTTATAGAAGAGAAAGTGTGAAATACACTTAAACGCATTGGCATAGGGAATCACTTCCTAAATATAACCCCAGCAGCACAGACACTGAAACAATTAATAAATGGGACCTCCTGAAACTGAAAAGCTTCTGTAAAGCAAAGGACATGGTCAACAAGACAAAACGATAGCCTACAGAATGGGAAAAGATCTTCACTAACCCCACATCAGACAGAGGTCTGATCTCCAAAATATACAAAGAACTCAAAAAACTGGACACCAAAAGATCACATAATCCAATAAAAAAAAATGGTGTACAGACCTAAACAGAGAACTCTCAACAGAGGAATCTAAAACGGCTGAAAGACACTTAAGGAAATGCTCAACATTCTTAGTCATCAGAGAAATGCAAATCAAAACAACTCTGAGATTCTATCTTACACCTGTAAGAATGGCCAAAATCAAAAACACTAATGACAACTTATGCTGGAGAGGTTGTGGGGAAAAGAGAACACTTCTGCATTGCTGGTGGGAATGCAAACTGGTATAACCCTTTTGGATGTCAATGTGGCAATTTCTCAGAAAATTAGGAAACAACCTTCCTCAAGACCCAGTAATACCACTTTTGGATATATATCCAAAGCATGCTCAATTGTATCACAAGGATATGTGCTCAACTATGTTCATAGCAGCTTTGTTTGTCATAGCCAGAACCTGGAAACAACCTGAATGGCCCTCGAACAAAGAATAAGGAAAATGTGGTACATTTATACAATGGAGTACTACACAGCAGAAAAAAATAACGACATCTTGAATTTTGCAGGAAAATGGATGGAGCTAGAAAACATTATTTGCAGTGGGGTAACCCAGACCCGGAAAGACAATTATCACATGTACTCTCTCTTAGGTGGTTCTTTAACATAAGGCAAAGAAAGTCAGCCTACAAACCACAATCCCAGAGAACTTAGACAACAATACGGACACTAAGAGAGACTTACATAGATCTAATCTACATAGGAAGTAGAAAGTATAAAAAGACAAGATCTCCTGAGTAAATTGGGAGCATGGGGACCTTGGGGGAGGTCTGAAGGGGGGAGGGAAGAGGCAGGAAGGGGAGCAGAGAAAAATGTAGAGCTCAATAAATATCAATAAAGAAGTATAAAAAATAAAATATACCCTAAAAATAAAATAGGTATTAAATCAAGGCCTCTTCCACGTGATACAAGTGCTTTATCACTAAGTGGGCCCCTTTGCCATTTGGGACATGGAGTTGTGAGCTTTCTGTCTCAAGCCCCGGAGTATCTGAGATTACAGAACATTTCCAGGAAACGTGGTTTCAAAAAAAGCATTCCTAAAGAGTTTGTGTGTCCCAACGTAGCTTTCTGCTCCGTTATCCTGAAGTAAAATTGTGTCAGTGTGAACTTTCCTCCTGCCCTAATTTCCTAAGTACACCTGAGCTTTTTAAGTCACGACATATTGATCAGAGTAAGCAATAAAAGCAATACACATTGCCGTTAAAAGCTGAACTCACTTGGTAATCTGGGATTTCAACAGCAGCTTCATTTCAGGGATGGTCCGCTGGCAGTAAACTGTGCTTAGTGTGCTCTGAGGTTTGAGGCAGTCCTTCGCATAGCCTTGTGGGAAATGTAGTCTCTCACCGCGACGTCAACTGGACTGGACTCTGCTGTCTGTGCTTCCGGGTTCATTCTACATTTTTGTGTTTCTCCAAACTCTGCGCCTTTCTCAAAGTTGGGAGCGTGTGGCTTGTGCTCCGCGTTCGCCATGGAGGTTGGTCAAGGGTGCAGCGTAGCCTTGCGGGCCCGGAGGCCTGTGCAGGGTGGGCAGGTCCGGCCTGGTGGGAGCGGAGGAGGGGTGGGTGGGAGGCGGGGAGAAGCTGCCTGGTGCGATCTGTGCTGACCCAGGGTTTGGCCGATGGCTGGGGAGCGCTGGGGAGTGGGCGTGCTGATGGTGCGGGAGGGAATGCTCTGCTGGGGACCCGGCGGCTGCAGCGACCCTGTGCTTCAGGGACCGGAGAGCTGGCCCGCTAGTGCAAGAAGGGAGGACGTGGAAGGAATGTCCAGGATTGCTAGAGCAGGGTGGCTTGGCCGACTGCTTGTGCCCGAGGCCATGGTGGGAGCTCACATTCCAGCTTGGCTAGGGAAGCATGTCCTTATTACCTCTTACATTGCTGCTGTCAGATTTCTCAGGACATCTACATCTACAGCAAGTAGGGTTTTCTGGTTCCTCCTGTACTCTGTAGCCGGCCTGGGAATCTTGGTTTAAGTTGACAGAAGTTCATAAAGCTCTTCGATTCCAGGACAGAGTTCTGTGGGAGAGTTTGGTATTTGGGATGTTTGTCTCGTTTTCTTTAGAACAAATGGTTAGTTTTCAGGATGGCTCACTTTGGATAGGAATCTGTTCTCTATACCCGCCTAGACCGGATCCTCCCACATGCTCACGCGAGGCGGGAAAAATTCCACAAAGGGCACACTCAAAGCGTGGCACGTTCCAACTGATCCTACATTGCAGGGTAAAAAATACTAGAAAACAAGACCACATCCAATCCCACCAGAGACAGTGATGTCAGCAATTCGGACTCCTTTCCCGAGAGGAGAGGTTAGTTGGTGTATGGATTGTTAATGGAGTGGCCTTGAATGTCTCTGGGCTGGAGAAATAGTCTCCTACACCTTACAGGTTGTCTACAGTGCGCTCTAATCGCAATCTTTTCTTCCATCCTTACGCTGTCTAGGAACTCTGAAACCAATGAGTCTGAGTTGTCTTGAGGGGGCGGGGAGATGCCCAAGTATTTATACAGTGTCAGAAAGATTAAACGATGAAGTTGATCTGTGGTGATTTGTATACAGTCGGCTGCTCAAAATGGTTTTTGTTTGTTTTTCGAGGCAGGACTTCTCTGTGTCACAGCTCTGGCTGTCCTGGAACTAGCTACAGGCCAGGGTGGCCTTGAGATTTCCCTGCCTCGCCTCCAGACTGCTGGGCTGAACGGTGTTTGCCACCACACCCGCTTCACCCTATTGTGCTGCGGTATATTTTGCCACCTTTAACCCCAGCACTCAGGAAGCAGAGGCAGGAGGATCTCTGAGTCCCAGGACAGCCAAGGTTCCACAGAGAAACCCTGTCTCAACAAAACAAAACAAACAAAAAGCAAAACTCTTTTGCCACACTTCAGTCAAACTGAGTATTCCTGTATTGGAGACTGTCTTACAACATTAAAGTCTATTCCTAGAAAGCACAGGCTTTAAACAACATCATAAACACTAATATTTTCTATGTATTATCTAGCTGTAATTGACAGAGACACTCCTAATTAACATCACGAATCTACAGAAAGCTAATGATATGCCTTTTTACACTGTTTAAGGTGTGAAAAGTTCATGTTCTTGTACCTCAGATCTTGTTTCTTGCAATGCAGAGGTGATACAGCCATGTGCTCATTTATATTATGGCTCACACACATATATATTTAATATATACATGTAGGCAGATGTTTCTTTTCTCGGAGCCACTCAGTCCCAGATGCCAGGCTGCTGCTTTCCAAATTGCCACACACAGGTTTAATATTACTTATAAATGCTTGAACAATAACTAAGGCTTATTATTAACTAGCTCTTACATTTGACGTTAACCCATCTTCCTTGCTTATGCTCTGCCACTTTGGTAGCTTTTCTCAGTACTGTGTGATCATCTCGCTCTCTCTGTGTGTGCCTGGCGTCTGGCCAGTGTCTTCCTGACTCCGCCCTTCTCCTTCCCATCATCCTTAGTCTGGTTGCCCCACCTATGCTTCCTGCCTGGCTATTGGTCAATCAGCCTTTTATTAAATCAATATAAGTGACAAATATTCACAGTGTACAAGAGGATTATTCCACAGTATTTATCCATGCACGCACATGCATTTATCATATATTAAATAGACCTGGGATTGAAAAGAAAAAGCAAGTGTATTCTGTATCATACCTTGTTATCTTTGCATTTGGGAGGAGGGAGCAAAAAAATCACTTGTTCAGGGTCACTCTCTGCTTCAGTAGCAAATTCAGGGCCAGATATGTTACATGAGTCTTAAAAAAACAAAAGAAAAGAAAACAAAACTTTTTTTTTTAATAGGAGCCATTGTTCCTTTACTGGGGCGGGGGAAATACTTTCAGTCCCCAGCAAAAACCTGGCTCCCTTCCACATGCGCTTGCCTGGGCTTGGTCTCCTGTATGTGTTTGCCGTTCACTGTGCCGTCCTAAGCACCATTGCTTTTCTTTTCCTACTGCATTCCACTGTTGGTTTGTTGATTTCCTCGTCTATTTTGCAGCCGTTTTCTTGACGTGTCCATCTGTATTCTTCTTCAGATACCAGAGGTAGATTCTTTGCTAAATTTGGGGGATGATCCTTTCTAATACATTTTTCTTGTTTGGGTTATGCCTTACATCTTATGGGTAAAGTCCTACTATGTAACTATAGCTGGCCTTGAACTCTATATAGATCAGGGTCTCCTTGAGCTTCCAGAGATCTGCCTACCTCTGCCTCCTGGGTGCTGAGGTTAAAGGCGCACCACTATGTCCATGCCTTGTAATTATCCTTGATATGTGGACTTTATTAATAACAGTGACCCTTGTTGGGCTAGAATATCTGGAACTTCTCAAAGCTATCCTGGGAACATGTGTAATGGCCTTTGGACTGTGTTTTCATTGGCATTGAACTTAACATTCAAGTTCTAATGTTCCTCCCAGTGGCTCTTTGAGAAAGGCAAGTCAGAATTCACTGTTTTGGTCAGGTCTCAAACAATACCGAAATTGAATGTCTGATCCAGTCTTTACATCCCCAGGAAGAAGGCAGACATTTGGAGGCTGTCCTCCAGTTCCTGCCTTTGTGGTCTACATGGAAGCAGGGTGTAAGCAAGTACAGCATCGTGACTTTTCTACATCTGAGCAGCTATATCCCAGCCCTGTCCTTTTCTGTTTTGTGTATGAGTCTCAGTCTGTCACCTTCCGTGCTGTGGGCAGTACACGTGGGTGAATCCCTCACAGGTTTGCTTTGGCACATCCTGAGAATACAATGCCGAGAGACCATGTTCAGCTTAGTGCAGGGACTGTTTTCTTTCCTCTTACACTTTCAGCTCTGTCTCTCTGTTAACTATTCACGGTTGTTGTAAAGGTTTAAAACCTGAATAATTAATATACCACAGTGTATTCTGAGCTCTGTTTTAACTCTGTCCACAAACCAGAAAAACCTTCTGAGGTAGTTTGGATGAAAATGAGCCCATGAGTCATATACTTTAATACTTGGTCTCTATTGGTGAACGCTTTGGGAAGGATTAAGAAGTGTGGCTTGGAGGTGTGTCATTGGGGGCAAGCTTAAGGTTTCAAAAGATTCCCATAATCCCCAGTTTGTTTCCTCTGCCTCGTGCTGGTTTCTCTCCATCTAGGGCTGAAAAATGAGCTGTGATTAACAAGAGCCTAGCACTATAGAACTGATGTTTGATACCAGGGACTGAGAAATCAGCTGTGATTAAAAATAGACCATAGCCACTGAGGTACTAGCTTCTGGCCTCAGCACAGTGAGCTACAGTCTGGAGCAGGTCAAAACTGAATTTCAAGCTGGCAGCTGCCCTTTGTATGTATGAGTCTGTCACGTGGTACTGATTTTGAAAGCATTAAGAAGCAATGGAGAGCAGGTGGGACATTGCACTGTGAAAGTTCTAGAAAGGCCATTGTCATTTGTAGTGGAGACCACATCGGTGACAGGGTCATGAAAACCAGGTACGTTCAGACATCAAGACCAAGACTGTCCACTGTGATCATCTCACTTACCATGGGATACAGGCTTGGATCAGTTTCTTTGGAGCTCTCTACTGGGAATGAAGTAGCTGGTTCATTCATATAGTTATATGCAGTAGGGAGGCTGCTAGTTAGATCCCAGCTGCTCAGGTGCAAAAGTACCACACAGATGTTGTAGAGAGAGGGAGCGGGCCCTTACACCCGAAATAATCACACAGAAACTGTATTCACTGTAAAACATTGCTTGGCCCATTAGCTCTAGTTTCTTATTGGCTGATTCTTACACCTTAATTTAACCCATTTCCATTAATCTGTGTATCACCGCGTGACTGTGACTTACTGGCAAGATTCTAACTGGCGTCCATCTCAGGCAGAAGATCCATGGCGTCTCTCACTCTGCCCTTCTTCCCAGCATTCAGTTCTGTCTTCACCGCCTACCTAAGTTCTGCCCTATCAGGCCCAAAGCAGTTTCTTTATTCATTAACCAATGAAAGCAACACGTGAACAGAAGAACTTCCTACACCACACAGAAACAGTATTAATTAAATCACTGCTTGGTTCATTAGATCTAGGTTCTTATTAGCTAACTCTTACATCTTAATTTAACCAATTTCTATTAATCTGTGTATCGTCACAAGGCTGTGGCTTTCCATGTAAAGATCTGGCATCCATCTCCTGTGGGGCTACATGACTTGTCACTGACTCTGCCTTCTTTCTCCCAGCATTCAGGTTTAGTTTCCCCCATCTAGCTAAGTTCTATAGGCCCAAAGCAATTTCTTTATTCATTAACCAATAAAAGCAACACATAGACAGAAGGACCTCTCACACTAGTTATATTTATAGGTTTCTGAAGAACATGCACAGTGCTTTTCCTACTGTCTGTGCCAGTTTACTTGGGTACCAACTGAGTATCAATGCTGTTGTTATCCATGATCCTTTCTAACAACTTTGTACAATTCACATGAGAGTGAATTCTAAGACTAGGCTGCAGATAGCTGAGGGAATCCTTGTGACTTTGCACTTTATGGTCTCCATCAGAAAGTCTTTTGACAAGGTTCAGAGGATCCTGCAAAGAGGGGAAGGTGGAGACTCTACATATGTTCATAAGTACATACACATATGTCCAGTGCTACAAAGAGCAAAATCTGTTTATTTATTTAATTTATTTATTGCCAATCCAAATTCCTACTCCCTCTTCTCCTCCCATTCCCTTCACACACCCTCCCATCCCACCCCCTCTAATCCTAAGAGAGGGTAAGGCACTTTGCTTTGTGGAAGGTCCCAGGCCCTCCCTACTACATTTAGGCTGAGCAAGGTATATATCCAAAGAGAATAGGATCCCGAAAAGCCAGTACATGTAGTAGAGATAAATCCCAGTGCCACTATCAGTGGTCCCTCAGTCTGAAAGAGCAGAATCTTGTCTATGACAATATAGATATGCTTATTATTTCGGACCTGGAAAGTAACACAGGATCTCAGCCATAGACAGACTCCAGAGAACTTGATCACACTGACACTGGAGGGATATGGGTGTTTCCAATGGTCCAGTGATATGAGGAAGAGATGCACGGGAAGTACTGATCAGTGGGTGCACAATGCAGTTAGGTCGGAGCAGGATGCTTAGGCTATTATTGCACAGAATCTTCAAAATTATTTAAGGACCATCCAAGGTATATATCTAGCTAGTATTATCTAACAAAGTATACAGCTAACATTATATAACCCTTCATTAATATGTACGTCTCTCATTTTTACAAGTTAATCTAAGCAGTAAGACTATTACTGCCCTCATGGATCATTTTGAACATTATACATTAAGATGACAGGGGAGCTAAAATATAGAAAATTTAAAAGTAAGAGGTAAAAAAGGTAGTGTCATATATTGCTAACACTAGACCTTTGAAGACCAATGCAATTGAGTCATGAGTTTAAAATCTGCTTTAGGAGCATCGCAGATATACGAATACCAGACAGAGAGGGAGAAACAAAAGAAAATATTAGTATTACATTTAGTGTATTTAGAATATTCAAATGTTGTCTATGCTGTTAAATTGTCCTATTTGATTAATTTGTGATAATTATTTTTATTTCAGGAACTTCTGTCATTCACAGATGTGGCCATTAATTTCTCTGCAGAGGAGTGTGAATGTCTGGACTCTGCTCAGTGGAATCTGTACAGGGATGTGATGCTGGAGAATTACAGCAACCTGGTGTTCCTGGGTGAGGATCACGTCAACAGGGAATTATTTATTCACTGTCAACATGTGACTTCTTCCATTTGTAGAATATCTTATGGGAGTTTGTGCTTTTGATTGATTAGCTTTGTTTCCTTCCTTCCTTCCTTTCTTTCTTTCTTTCTTTCTTTCTTTCTTTCTTTCTTTCTAAGACAGGGTTTCTCTATGTAGCACTGACTCTCCTGGAGATTGCCTTGTAAATCAGACTGGTCTCTGCCTCCCAAGTGCTGGGATTAAAGGTGTGTGCCGCCACCCTTGCAGCTGGTCGATTAGTTTCATATGCCCATTTTTAAAGGAAAAATTAGGGGAAATATCAATATAGCTAAGAAACATTCTCTTTTTGTGCTTTTATCGGGTTTGTTTTCCTAGTGTGCACCCTGTGGTAGCAATGTTAGAAGCTCAGTGGCATGAGACATGGAGCCCATGTGTTACAGAAAGTGTCCCACCCTTCATCTTTAATACTTTAATACTTTTCCTGTAATGAGGTTCAGGATCTGTAGGTTGTAAAGTACTCCTAAGCATCCTGTATTTCATGGAATATTTAAACACAGGATTTTCCATAATTGTGCACCATCTCTTTCCTTATAAGCACAGAACTGGGGTTCATGTGATAATTTCTAGAAGAAACAGCCAAGCATCTTGTTCTCTTTTCCAAACAGGTCTTGCTTTCTCTAAGCCGTATCTGGTCACATTTCTGGAGCAAGGTACAGAGCCTTGGAGTGTGAAGAGACAATCAGCAGCTGCCAGCCATGCAGGTGTGTAGGAACGGGCACAGTAGAGCCAACAAATGACAAGTCTGTGTAAAGTGTATATTGAGAAGTTGGGTTTTGCTGGAAACCTCTTACTGTCAAAAGCTTTTCCTGTATGATGTTTACTGTGATAATCCTCTCCAGGAAGCTTTGGATGTTTTAGTAGTGATTGCCAAAGTCCTTTATCATCATTCCTCGTTTTGTTGTATCTCTGTGTAGTGTCTATCTGTATTCACATCTGCACGTGTCTGGGTGCCTGTGTGCATACAGATTCCCATGCACACATGCTTCTGGAGGAGCAACGCTGATGTTGAGAATCTTTCTTGATCGCTCTCCTACCTTATTCATGAAGTCAGGGTTTCTTAGACAAACTCAGAGCTCGTCCCCTCAGCCAGTTTGCTCTAGGGATTTCCCTGTCTTCATCGTCCAGCCCTGGAACCACAAGCCAGACACCATGGCAACCCCACATTTACAAACATTCTGGTATCCGAACCCCAGTCTTCATGCTTGGGTGGCAGGCATGTGAACTGCTGAACCATCTTCCCAGTCCCAGTCCTTTCATTTTTTTTCCTGGAAGGTCTAGATTATTACAGGCTTTTCTTTGCTTCCTATGAACTAGAAAATATCTACACACTTCTACAAGCCTTAGTAGGACAGTGACACACAGATAAGCATCTCTGGTTTCATTTACATGATCATAAGCCGAACTGGTTTCATCAGAGCTCTCGTGTGTGTGCATGTGCGTACACATGACACTGCCAGTTTTGAGGACAAGGGACACTGGAGCTGATTTTCTCCTTCTGCCGTGTGGGTTGTGAGGATGGAGAAGAGGTGTTCAGACACATTTGGGGTTAATGCTCTTTAACTTCTGAGCCATCTTACTGGTCTGATAATGTATTCCTATGAAGGTTGGGTGTATTTTTATACTTTTTTTTGCCACACACTCAATGTTTTAAATTTAAAATGCCATGCTTTTACAAGTATATAGTCATAGCTGAAAACTATATATCTAGATAAATTCCGTTAGTAGATCTTTGATACTCTTTCCAATTTTTATGAGTCCCAACCTCATCTTCTTTTTTTTCTTATCCTGCAACTTTATTTTCTGTATTTGATTTTTTTTTTACTCTTGGCTCCTTTACATTTTATGATAATATGCTCAGCTGTACCCATGATGTTTTTCTAGATGATACTACCTGTTACTTACTGTATTCTTTAGGACAATGTAAGAAAGTAAGATATCTATGCTTAGGTCTATTGAGAGTGAAACTGTTATCATTGCCTATAAAAATATCATTTCTGATTTCAAGCCATGTGTATTTTCTCTCTTTGTTGGATACTCAATAGTTGTAGCCCTCTAAGTGGGTGTTCCCAGAAATTGTGCAACTTTTGTATTTATTGATAGACATGTTCCCCTTAGCTGGACTTATGCCACTTGTAAGTAAATGAGAAAGTTTTTTGTAATTTGATTTTTTTAAAAGTATTTATACTATTGTTGGTAAAACATAACACTCTCTGAAATATATATTGTATACTGTTTAAAAGTTTTATGTAGCAAATCTTTACAAGATTTTATAGCTTTGAAACATGAAACTGTATGCTCAAAAAAATTTTTGTATTTCTTCCTCCAACCAATCTATCACAATCACCATTGGCTTCCTGTTTGACATGTGTTTTAACTGTGAGTTTTTATGTAAGACCAAAAATAGAGTATTTATATAATGGCTTTATTTCCTTTAGTACAATGCTCTTTCAGAATTTTTTATTTAGGTGTTATGTCAAGTTTGGCTAGTTAAGGTAAGTAGTTCTCCATTATTCGTTTGTTCCACATTGTCTTCACATTCTCAGTTCAGTGGTAGATTAGGTTGTTACAACTGTATTTTCTAAATGATGCTACTAGGGACATAGGTGTGCAAATGTCTGTACTTTCCCATTATGATGTCTCTATGTGTCAAAATATAGTCACAATTTTAAAGTATTCATATTAAAAATTGAGCAGCACAATTATAAAATATGATGGCATACTTATGCTTGTACTGACCCTTCAACCCTTTCCCTACAGGATCAAAGCCCCATAAATGTAAAGAATGTGGGAAGGCCTTTGATAGAAACTCAGTCCTCATTCAGCACCAGAGAATTCACACTGGAGAGAGACCCTATGCGTGTGAAGAATGTGGGAAATCTTTCAACTATTCTTCCAGCCTTAAACAGCACCAAAGAATTCACACTGGAGAGAAACCGTACAAATGTGAGGTATGTGGCAAAGCCTTTAGCTGTTCGTCATATCTGGGTAAGCATCAGAGAATCCACACTGGAGAGAAGCGCTACAGATGTGAAGAATGTGGTAAGCCTTTCACTAATTGTTCAGGCCTTGTTGTTCACCGAAGAGTCCACACTGGAGAGAAACCCTACAAATGTGAGGAGTGTGGCAAGGCCTTTAGCGTTCGCACAACGCTTTCGAAACATCAGATAATTCACACTGGAGAGAAGCCGTACAGATGTGAAGAGTGTGGAAAGACTTTTAATGTTCATTCAACACTTTCTAAACACCAGAGAATTCACACCGGAGAGAAACCTTACAAGTGTGAAGAATGTGGCATGGCTTTCAATGTTCGCTGCATCCTCTCTAAACACCAGAGAACCCATACTGGAGAGAAACCCTACAAATGTAAAGAATGTGGCAAAGCTTTTAACTGTTCGTCCAGCCTTCACCAACACCAACAGATACATAGAGGAGAGAAACTCTACAAATGTGATGATTGTGACCAGGCGTTTAGCTGTTCTTCTTACCTGTACAAGCATCGGCGAATCCACAGTGGTATGAAACCCTACAAATGCAAGGAATGTGGCAAAGCCTTTTACTGCTCTGTCAACCTTATTTACCATCAAAGAATTCATACTGGAGAGAAACCATATAAATGTGATGAGTGTGGAAAAGCCTTTAGCATTTGTTCAACTTTTATGAAACACCAGCGAATACATAGTGGAGAAAAACCTTATAAGTGCAAAGAATGTGACAAAGCCTTTAATAATTGTTATAATCTAATTCAACACCAAAGAATCCATACTGGAGAAAAGCCCTTCAAATGCAAAGACTGTGGCAAAGCCTTCAATTATACTTCAAGTCTTGCTCAGCATGAAAGAATTCACACTGGAGAGAAACCCTACAAATGTGAACAGTGTGGCAAGGCCTTTAACTCTTCTTCAAACCTTAAACATCACTGGAGACTCCACACTGGAGAGAAGCCCTACAAATGTGAACAGTGTGGCAAAGCCTTTAAAAATTGTTCAGGCTTTACTCGACACTACAGAACTCATATCAGAGAAAATCCAGATTAGTGTAAACACTGTCTCAAAGCCTTCAATAGTTGTTTAGTGATACTTCAACACTAGAGAATTCATATGAGAGAGAAACTCTACAAATAAAAGGGATAAGGGAAGACATTTAATAACCCTTATTCAACATCCAACATTTCATACTGGAGAGACCTTATAATGGTGAAGAAGATGACTCTCTTGAGCATTCTATATTTATGCAACATCAAAATTTAGATTTCAGAGAATCCCTACAAATGCCAATAATGTGGGAAGTCCTCTTTAACCACAAGTGAATTCTAATCAAACTTCATATATACGTAGTGACTTGGGAAGGAACAGTCAGCTTTATAACACTGGGAGAAGCAAAGAGTAAAACGCACTATGTAAGCAGTGTTGCAGGACTTTCCTCATCATGTAGACCTTAAGAGGTTTAAGGAAATGAGCGTAGACAAACTTCATGAATTGTATGCATAGAATTTAACACAGCATGGAATCTTGCTTATAATTCATAGTGGATGGTATAGAAAAACTCATTATAGACTTTGGGATATAGATAACTTAAGTTTATGAGGATATCAATATGTTATAAATACAAGTTATAACATAAACTCAATTTTGAAAACTATAGGATCACAACTGTTAGGTAATTTTATCAGAAGAATATGACTGAGTCCTGATACTTAAGTGTCTGTTTCTTTTTTTTTTTTCAGAAATCATATAATACACTATTGGAATATGAAGTTTAGTGACTTTTATAAATAAAACTGAGCAGTTCTTAAATGCATTGTCAATGTTGTGTATAGAATTACATTCTGCTATAGACATTAAAGTATCTACCTTAGTGAGGTGTGATGGCTCACCTTGGTTGTCCTCTTGACACATCCAGGAAGAGGGAACGTCAATTAAGAATCATCTCTATCAGATAAGCTTATGACCATGACTGTTACGTTTCTTTAGCACACTGATATAGGAGGTCCCAGTCCACCGAGGACTATAGCAGCCCTCGGCTATGAGCCTGGGCTGTGTACGAACCGTATCCAAATGAGGCTGCGAGTAAGCCAAGTAAGTAGCATTCCTTTGTGATCTTTGCTTAGGTCCCTGCGTCGCATTTCTTCAATGACGGACCGTAATGTGTAAAATGAAATAAACCCTTTCTTCTCCAAGTTGTTTTCTGGTCATGGGGTTTATCAAAGTAGCAGAAAAAAACTAGGGCCTAAGGAATCTAGGTAACATTTTAATTATAACTACTGGCGATTAGTGGGATAGTTAGTCTGTTCCAATGTTAATGTGCTTCATCTAATTTGTAGCATATTATCATTTATGTTATATCATTATTCATCCACTTATCAATTAGTTTTATATCATGCGTTTTATAATAAAGTTATGCCCTTTTGACTCTTGTATTTTATATCAAATTCTATCAAAGAGTTTTACTATAGAACCTCTTCAGCATAACGGTATACTCACTGCTAGGAGTCATTCACATCAGCTGAAATATGTAATTATAATATGTACGCTGGGACTGAGAGAATTTGAGGGGACTGCTCAAGTAGAAGATGTCTTCGGATTTCTGTTGTCATGAAGAGACACCATTACCACAGCACCTGTGACAAAGAACATCATTCAGTTGTGGTGGCTCACTTGCAGTTCAGAGACTCAGTCCATTGTCATGGTAGGACATGGCAGTGTTCAGGCAGACATGGTGCTGGAGAGGTAGCTGAAATGTCTACATCTTGCAGGTAACCGGAAATGGATGGTCTCACTGGGTTTGGCTTGAGCATATATGTGATTGAAAGCACACCTCCACAGTGACATCCTTCTTCCAACAAGGCTACAAGTGCCATGCCCCTTGGGAGCCATTTTCTTTCAAACCGCCAGAGAAGCTAATTTGAAATAGTTGACATCTCATAATCGACCAGTCAACCACACATCCTGAGGCACACACACACCCCTGATCTTCAGAGAGCTCATTTCTCTAAATAATTTGCTTTTTAGTCTTTTGTTTGTTTGCTTTTTTTTTTTTTTTTTTAGACAGGGTTTCTCTGTGGCTTTGGAGCCTGTCCTGGAACTATCTCTTGTAGACCAGGCTGTTTACAGACATCCGCCTGCCTCTGCCTCCCAAGTGCTTGGATTAAAGTCATGCGCCACCACCTCCTGGCTGCTTTTCAGTCTTTTTATGCTGATTCTAATATTGTTAGTCTTGCATCACATAATATATTGTTTATAAAAGAAGGAAGGTTTAGTTTACCAATTACGTGCTTTTAGTAATGTCTGATTTTATTAATCATTTTCAGAAATTGCCTTTAAATTATGATACTAAGTGAATATACTAAGATACACATTCATTTATTATTACATCTTATTTTTTAAACATATTCCTCTTCATTTTGGTAAGATACAGCTTAGTGGTTGGTGTTGACTGAGATACTATGTTGAGGCGGACACTGGGAGAGCTTCATATATGCTTTTGTTAGAAACAACAGAAACAAAATAATCTTCCCTAGCAAGCAGAGAACTCAGCATGGGATTCTTGGTTTTTTGAAAAGGAAAACTGATGGTATGAAAGCAGTTGTGCTGTCTCTTCGGAGCGCGCACTGAGCTTCTGGAGAGCACGTCCCGTTTCCCAGTGTCTCCTTCTTTAACTCCCAGCTACATGCTCAACACAGCCATTGTCCTTTATCACCACCACTACGACTCTTGCTTATTTTCTCTTCTCCCCACTCAACTTCATCTAACCGGAGATTTCCATTTCTGATGTGTACTCTCATTTTCTCTATTGTAAGGGTATTTTTCAGGTACTCACGGCATCCTTCATTTTCAGTGCTCGTTCCTAATTGACCCAAAGTAGCCATAGTTGTGTATGCTGTAGAATATGGTTTTGATATATTTGTCAATTGTGTAATAAATGGAATTTGCAGATTTAGCGCCTCAATCATTTATGATTTTGATGGTAAGAATAGCTGGGGTCCTTCAGGCTACCGTGTTATGGATCGCAAGTTATGAGCTGTCAGTATCCCATAGTGATATTGAGTGCTTCCCATATAAATTATATATTAGTATGTCTCATTTGGAGAAATAATTCCTATATATGTCCAATTTTGAACCAAATTATTTGAGTAGTTTTGATATGTCGTTTGACAACACTATCATCTGAATTAACCATTGAGGGATTCATTTCGGACAAACATTCATCATCGAATTCTAGAACAATTTGAATGCACATACTCCTACTACACACTGCATAGATTTCAGCTATTTCTATCAGGTAATCAGTAGGGAAAAACTCATGAGTGAAGCCTCTCTAGAAGCCCCAAATCACATATTCTTTTCTCTCTTCCCTGGTCCTCATTTTTTGAGAAGCCTCCACTGACGGTGTTTTTCTTTGTGTGAAGGAGCACTGCCTTTGTAGCATTCTTTACTGCAGAGTTTGGCTTAAAGCATACACTTCGGTGTTTTCAGTTTCCATTGCTTTCTTTCTGAGTGAAGTACCACATATACCAAACTTGTTTCAAACTTGCCGTGTACCTAAGGATGACTTCAGACCTCTGATGGTCCTATTTCAAGTACCCAGATGCTGGGATTTCCAATGTGTAAAACCAGACTTGCTTTTATGCAAGCACCCAGTTCGAATTTCCAAATACTCAGACCATGAACACCTTTTCACATATTATCTGTTTGCATTGCACATTTGAAGAATGGTCTTTTCAGAACGTTTGCCCACTTTTTAAGATTAGTGATTTGCTTTTTCTTATGAATTCTTTTGTAGTACTTCATAACACCCTCGATATTAAACTTCTGTCTGATACAGTGGGCCAACAATTGTTCCCACTCTTTCACCTCTTACTCTCTCCGGTGTTTCTACTGTTGTTTCCATTGCTTGGCAGAAGCTTCTTAGTTTCATGTGATCCCATTTGTCGGTTCCAGTGATAATGTCTTATGTTGCTGGAATCTGCTTACCTATCTGGTAACTTAGAAATTTAAAATCTTTGACCTTTGATTTTTCGCAGCAGGGTAAGAGATGTGGATCTACTTGTATTCTCCTATATATGGAATCCAGGTTTTCCACATCATTTATTTAAAAAGGTATTTGGGGCCTGGGAAGATGGCTCAGTGATTAATAGTACTGGCAGCTCTTCCAGAGGTCCTGAGTTCAACTTCCAACAATCCACAGGGTGGCTCACAACCATCTGTAGTGAGATCTGATGTCCTCTTCTAGTGTGCAGGCATACATGCAGGAAGAATAAATAAATTTTTAAAAGTAGTATTTCCTTCAGTATATATTTTTGCTACTTTTGTCAAAACTGGGGCTGTAACCATTTGGTTTGTTTCTTGATCACACAACACATACCCCCTCCCCCTGTGTGTGTGTGTGTTTAGTTTTTTATGAGCCACGGTTTATGTAGTTCTGGCTGTCCTCTGTAGACCAGGCTGGCCTCACACACAGATCCACCTGCCTCTGCCTCCCGAGTGCTGGGATTAAAGGTGTGCGCCTCCACTGTCCAGACCTAGATGGTATATTTTATTCCAGTCTGTTTAGTGATATGGCTTTCAGTTTTTACTGTGGCTGTATAATCTACATTGAGGTTGGACACTGCGTTACTTCCAACAATGCTTTTTATAGCAGATATTGCTTTATTTATTTAGAGTCTTTTGTGCTTCCTTGTGAATTTCTAAGTTGTGGCCTTTTCTATTTCTGTGACCACTGCCATTGGAGTTTCTCCATCTCTTCTTACAACCACTTTCTGAATTTCTCAAGTAATTCCGCCATTGCTTTGTCTATCTAGTTTTCAATTTTTGCTGCTTTTCAGAGGTGTCGAAAGAGCTACAAGTCATGAAATATTTTTACAGTTCTTCACTTAGGGAGTTTTCCATGTTCAATTTTGTCATTTGATCTTTTAACCTTTTCAAGAATTTGGTCAGCTCTTCCTTCTTCCTCTGTTGAATATTAAAGACCTTATTCATAGTTTGGATTCTGGTGTTTGATTCCTGATTCCTCTGCTAAGAAGATCCCCACATCACTCATATATTCCCGATGGGTCTTGAGGTTATTATTCCACTGGGGATTCTGGGCAGGATATTCAACATCTGTGGCCCAAACCCTGGTAGAAATGGAATGGTCCCTCCTATATGACCATGGCAGCCTGCCTATTCATCATCATCCTGCCCTAGGAAGAGAGTGGCCTAGATCAACATCTAGTTCATTTTGTATTCCCAGGAACAATTCTGAAGCCTTTTGTATTCAGGGTATAATTGCTTCTCCATTCTGAGTTGGGGGTAGTGAGAGAAGTTCAAAGCAGATCCTCGATTTTCAGAACACTCTCTGAAGAGCAGTGTCAGGGCCAGGAAAAATACTGGAATTGAACAAACTAGATCAAGCCTAATGTGGCAGGAAATCTTACCAGACAGATGTCACGGCGCATTATCCTCCGCCCTAAAGATGAATTCTCTCAGGGAAAGGCATAGCCTGAAAAACCTTTTAAACAACATGGAATAACGTTGAGAAGGGCACAGACTGATCTCAACACTTCTATTCAGATGCCAGATGCCCTGAACTGGGGCTCAGCCTTGTATCTATCTACTACATTTCAATTGCTAAACACTTATGCAATAGCACTTGGGTAGGGCAGTGTGATAGAACCGACTTCCCAAATTACACGCTTAAATCAGGTCTAGAGCTTCTATTAATCTGATAAACTGTAGGGGATTCTCCTCTGAACTTTACTCAAAAAGAAATTCCCTTTGTTCTTGCTGGATGGCCTCCATTTTCCAGCTTCCCCACTGCGAATGGCCATCATTACTGAAAGACTTGATCTCCCGAAATGTGCCTCTGAGCTTCTGTATACAGAACCTGGGAAGAATGGTCAACGTTTAAAACATTCTGTAGCAGGCGAGTTTTAAATCACAACATACAGACCAAAGTAAGCAGTAACCCTAATAGTCACTGCCGTCAAAGGTTCGACTCACATTCAAACAGCTCATTTTGAGAACCCGAGATTTTAAAAGCGGCAGCCTGACTCCCTGTAGCTGTCCACGTGCAGACGATGCTTGTTTCTACCTACCCCTTTGTCAAACAGACCACACTAAGCCAGAAACTTCACAAATCACCTTTCCGTGCTTCCGGAAACTCACTCGCACTCAATTGTGGGAAATGTAGTCTCGCCCGCGGCGACGTCACAAACAGGGACTCTGGAGAGGGCGCTTCCGCGTTTCTTTTGCGCCTGTGCGTCCCCGGCTCTTGGCCGGCTTCTCCAAAGTTGGTCCAGTGTCACGGGCCCTGTTGCCGCTCTGGTAGCATCTCTGACAATGGAGGTTGGTCCAGGATGTAGCGCAACCGGAGGGACGGTGCAGGGTGGGCGGGTCCGGGTCGGAGGGAGCACTCCCGGCGTTGGTGGGAGGAGGGAAGAGCTGAGTGGGAGGTGCTGTGCCCACCTAGGCTGGGCCATTGCCCCAGGGTGCAGGTTAGCTCTGGGGATAAAGTGTCGTAGGGATGGTGCTGGGGGCGTCAGTTAGGATGCGGCTGCCTTAGTCTGCCCTGCACTTCTGGGACAGGGAGCTGACTCGGTTGCCCAGGAGTGGAGAAAAGTGACAGACGCCCCGGCAGGGTGCATCTGATGACAGTTTGGCCCTGAGGAGCTTGCCATTTCTAACAAACACCGTCTTGATGGCTGCTTTTCTTGTGAAGTTCTTGGCGTATGTGGAGTGAGTGGAATCTCTGGGCCCTCCTGTGCTCATAGCCTGCTAAGAGTTTTCCCTGGGGGCTATTGAATGGTGTGATAGTTGGTTCGTTTTGTGAACCTGACACAATCTAGCTTCACAGGGAAAAGATTCTCAATGATAAGTTGTCTAGATCAGGTTACCCTTGGGGATTGCCTTGATTAATTAATTGGTGTGGAGTGACGCCGCCCTACGGTGAACCTCACCATTCCCTGACTTTGGGTCCTGGACTGTATAACTGAAGAAGGAAGCGTGTGTACGTTTTTTCTGTCTCTATTCTTCTACTGATGTGACTAGCTGCTTCAAGTTATTAGTGCCTTGACATCTTGGCAGTGATGGATTCTAGGCCAAAACTCTGAGCTTTTTACCTGTACGATTTTTTGGGGGGGGGGGTATTTTATCGCATCAACTGGAAGTGAAATTAAAACAGGATATTAGTTCCTATCTATTATTCTAATTAAAAATTCTTTTAGGATTCCATACGTGATTACTGTATTTACATTATTTCTATTTCTTCTTCTCCCCTCCAATTTCTACTGTTTCCTCCACTTTCTCTTAAATCTATACGTCTTCATAATTATTGTTTTAAACACACATACAGATACATACACACACAGACACATACACATACAGACACACACACGCACATCATGGCCATTCAAAATTTATTTGAAAAATATTAGCTTTAGCAATTATATAAATAACTACTACCCTTTGAATCACTTTTCTGGTGGCTGTGACAGACTACCTCACAAAAGCAATTTCAGTAAGAAAGGAATCACTTTTGCTTATATTTCCTTAAAGTTTGGGGTCTAGTCCATCCTGGTAGGAAAGTCATGGTGGTACGGAAGTGAGACAGCCGCTCACATTGTATCTGCAGTCAGGAACCAAAGAGAGATGGACGCTGTTGCTCTTGCTTTCTCAGCTGAGCCTGGGACCCCAGCCCATGGGACCCCAGCCCGAGGGATCCCAGCCCGTGGGACCCCAGCCCTAGGGACCCCAAGCCCGTGGGACCCCAGCCCGAGGGACCCCAGCCCGTGGGACCCCAGCCCGAGGGACCCCAGCCCGTGGGACCCCAGCCCAAGGGACCCCACCTTGTGGGACCCCAGCCCGTGGGACCCCAGCCCGAGGGAAGGTGCTCTCTTCATTTCCACTGGGTCTTCCACCTCGATTAGTGCCATCTGGAAACTCCGCCACAGGCGTACTATGACATGCTGGAGCCCACTGACTTGGCAGCATTGACCTTTTACTTTATAAAACTGTGACTGGAAAAAAAAAATAAAACTGTGACTGGATTTTAACCTTATGGCTCTGTGCTCTTGTGGAATTAGCTTAAGGTACAAACCTTGCATAGCTATAGAATATTTTCTATATCATATTCTTACATTATATCTTTGTTTCTACTTTTCATACTTTGAAATGTTTTGTTAAAAACTTAGGCACAGGCACAGATTTGCCCAGGTCTACTCAGAGTTATGCCTATAATCCAGTCATCTGGGAAAGTGAGGCCAGAGGGTTCCCATGAATTTGACATCACCCAGCGCTATGTAGTGAGTTCCAGGCCTGCCCAGGCAGCATTCAGAGGCCTTGTCTCAAACTACAGAAGAAAGCAGTAAAGGAGATTTCATGCAGAATGTCTGTAGTTGGGTCTGGTTTTTCCCATCTGATCTTTCATGCTGTTCACTTTATCGTTTTGACCCCATTGCCACATTGCTGGGACTTTCTATGTTCCCTCAGCATCCCAGCCACTTACGCTTCTGATGATGTCCCAGCACAGATGGTGGCTTTCCTTTTCCCTTTGGATATGCTTCTGCATCCACTCTTCCCAGCCCCCATTCCACTTCTCTGCTTGCTCCCAGTTTTCCTGTTTCACTTAGGTTTCCTTCACACAGTCCTGGTCACAATGACTTCAGTTACTGATGAGGCTCTGTTACTTTCCAGACTGTTTCAATTCAGTTGAGATATTAGGTTGATCTACAATCCTGAATCCTATTGACTGGTTGGAAATCCATTATATCCAATATTATGTAATCTATTGTGTTCAAGTCTTTTTAAAAATAATATTTATTTAATCTGTGAATTTCATATATGTATTCAATGCATTTGGTTAAATCTACCCCCGCTCCAACAGTTCAAGGCATCTACCAAAATATTCCTGCCCCAGTTTCTTGTCCTGGTGGTTTTTGCTTATTTTTTTTTTAAATATTTATTTATTTATTATGGATACAGTATTCTGTTTGCATATATACCTACAGGCTAGAAGAGGGCACCAGACCCCATTACAGATGGTTGTGAGCCACCATGTGGTTGCTGGGAATCGAACTCAGGTCCTTTGGAAGAGCATGCAATGCTCTTAACCGCTGAGCCATCTCTCCAGCCCCGTTTTTGCTTATTTTTTAAGCCCACTGAGTTCACTTAGTGTTGCTCTAGTGTGCATGAGTGTGGGGACATCCTCTAGATCATGGGCACTCACTGACCACACCTCCAAGGAAAAAATGAGAATCTCTCTTATGGTGGCCGTCAACTCCAGCAGCTCCTCAACTAGGGCTGGGGCCTGTGAGCCCCTCTCCTTCCCCTTTTACAATTTTGACTGACTTATCTTTTTATGTTTTGTTTTGGGTTTTTGAGACAGATACTTGTGTAGTTCAGGTTGTCCTCAAACTTGCTATGTAACTGACATTGACTTTAACTTCTATTTCTCCTGACTCCTGTGTGCTGGCATTACAGGTGTGGGGCACCTTGCTCACTTTCCTGTCCTGTATTTTACTCCTCTGTGCCCTGTAAAGATGGTCAGCTGTCATTTTGTTCTTTCTTTGTGACTTATCCTTAAAACATAACTTATTGTTAAGACAGGACCTAATTGCTTCTCTAATTAGTTTAGGAAGTGGCAAAATTCCCCTGGGATGTAAGCAGGAAATTTGGAGGGTTGTGTGTGTGAATTTATAAGTTATTATTATTATTATTATTATTATTATTTTGGGTTTTTGAGACAAGATTTCTCTGTAGCTTTGGAGCCTGTTCTGGAACTAGCTCTTGTAGCCCCAGCTGGCCTCAAACTCACAGAGATCCACCTGCCTCTCTCTGCCTCCCGAGTGCTGGGATTAAAGGCGTGCACCACCACTGCCCAGCGAATGTATAAGTAATTGTGAGTGAGAGGTGCTTAGCATTTTTGTTGTTGATATTAAATCCGAAATATTCCATCATCGCTCAACATCATTGTTCAAGTTATGGTGCCAAGTTAGATTTATAGTGTGTGTGTTTTGTTGGTGTCTTTACTGTTGTATTTCTAAAGTTCCCTTGGAATCAGAGACTAATACTAATTATGGAGAAGAAAGTTATCTAATAGGCATAAAAGCATGAAGTGAAGTGTTAAGGTCAGAAATATATAATAAGAAAATATTGCTTATATTTTGACTGTGTTAGTAGTTAAGCGTAAGTGCTGATTGTCTTCTGCTAACAGTATTCACTGATGTCCAGAAGTATTTATGGTAATTCTTCTTAGTGATAAAAAATAGAACTTGTTTCACCCAAGCAGTGGTGGGTAGCACAACCAAAAACTGCTGCCAGCCACCTGATTAACTGTTGGGGACCTCCACTCAAAGTTGATCCTTTGATTTTGCTGTGGAAAAGAATTTCTGGAAGCGGAGTGGGAATTTATTAAAAACAGAGTTCGGCTGTCAGGGAAGGAATAAGCATGGGGTGGACTTCCCAAAGGAGTATCTTTACAATAGCCTTACACAGCATTTTGGGGGCTCTCAAGCTCATTTTGGGGGAACTCAAGGGTTACCGAAGGACCTCCATTGAGAAAATGCCCCCATAAGGCCCAGCTGTGGCCAGGGAGCTGGTATCCTGGATGTTTTGACCCATTGCTGCTTTGTTACCTCAGATGGGCAGTTATTGAATTACTCAGGGTTTTTGATAGAGAAATGTTTGGGATTCTCTCTTCTCGGTTGGATTTGTGATTGGAAAGATCTGTGATCCATAAGGTCTTCAGACTCTCCTTTCTCCACATAGGCATGTTGGACCATTTAGTTTCTCAGTCAGTGACCTCACTGTGAAGAGGTTGGGAAAAAACAATAAAACAAGAAGCCCATTTGGAGTTCTAACTCTTTAATTAAAAAATATACGTTTCCAGTCACCTTTTATTTATGTATTGATATTAAACTCCCAATTATACTACTTAACTAAATTAACATACACTGTTAATTTATTTTCATTTCAGGGACTGCTCTCCTTCAAGGATGTGGCCATTGATTTCTCTGCAGAGGAGTGTGAATGTCTGGACCCTGCTCAGTGGACTCTCTACAGGGATGTGATGCTGGAGAATTACAGCAACCTTGTGTTCCTGGGTGAGGATCACGTCCAGAGTGAATTCCTAATTCTCTGTAGACATGTGACTTCCTCCATTTGTAGAATAGCTCATGGGAATTTTTCTTTCCAACAATGAGTTTCGTATTTTGCATGATCACAGTTATTTCACAATTTTACGCATGCATGTAGTATACATTGACTATACCCACCCTTATCCTCTGAGCCCTGTTGATGCATGCTGTCTGATGAAGGTCTTGTGCAAGTTACTATCCCTGCTTTGAATTTATGTGTACAACAGCCATGTATTGTCTAGAATTCAGTTCTCAATAGTTCTCTTTCCAATTCCCTTAACTCTTTATTTTTCCAGCGTCCCTCCCATGAAATTTCCTGAGCCTTAGAAGGATTGCTGCAGATGCCCACGTAGTGTTGAAAACCCAGCGGTTAGCTGTTCATAGCAGTGCTTTGGCCAGTTGTGAGTCTCTGCATCAGCTACTACCAACTGCAGGCTACAACTGCTCTGATTAACATCGAGGGCAGCACTAATGTATGCGTATAAACACAAATATTTAGAAGTCAGTTGGACTTTGTGTGCATATAGTAAAACAGTTTTACAGTACCAGGCACAAGTGACTACTTACACATAATTGTCGTGCCCCATTTCTGCCACTGGACACATCTTGCTCAGGAGGTGGATACTATGTAGGCAGATGTTTTGGTAGGGACAGTCAGCTCCTCAATAAGGACATAGAGATTTCTTATTAAATATGAAAGCTTGACCGATAACTCATGCTTGTTTCTAACTAGCTCTTATAACTTAATTAACCCATTTCTATTCATTTACTTTCTGCCTCGTGGCTTTATTGCCTCATCTGTACTGCCCATCCTGCTTACTCTGTGTCTCCTGGTGTCTCCACCTTTCTTCTTCCCAGAACTCTCTCTGTCGCCAGAAGTCCCCTCTTCCTACCTACTAATGACCATTAGTTCTTTATTAAAGCAGTCACAGGGACACACCTTCTCACAGTGTAAAGATTCCACAGCAGTATCACAGCTTCCAGGGCTCCCATTCCTTAAGCTGCCTTTTCACTCAAGGGACAGTTTCCTTTGCTTTCAGAAGGTTTTTTCATCAATGGAGGTCCAGTTCTTCAATTGTTGACCTTACTTCTTCAGTGACCTTTCCTCTTCAGAAAGACCGTATTTATTCCTGCGTTGAACTACACTATTTTTTCCTCAAGCACTTTCAGAGTTTCTGGTCTCTCATTGAAACCCTCAGTTCATTTTGGAGTTGATTTTATTTAGTTTAGTTCTTATACACATAGATAGCCAATATTTCCTGTACCATAGTGGAGGGCCTTCTTTTCAGTGAGAATTTTTGGCAAGCTTCTCTAGTATCTATTGGGCTGTAGTCTGATGAAGTTATATCTGGGTATGCTAGTCTATTTCGTCCCCTATGTCTGTTTTTGTACCAATACATACTCTTGCTATTACTGTGGTTCCATATTAGGTCTTGAATACAGGTATGATTACATTTCATTCAGTATTTATTTTACTCAGTATTACATTGGCTAAATTTTAATTTTTTTTCTGTGAAGAATGGGATCACTTTTTTTTTATTGGAATTGCATGGGATGTGTAGATTGCTCTTACTAGGATCGTTGTTTTCAGAATATCATGTCTCTTCGATCCATAAGCATGAGGAGTTTTTCCATCTTCCAGTATTTTCTTCAGTTTCTTTTTATTTATTTTTTCTTCAGAGTCTATTCTTTAATGCGTTAAATTTTCATTGTAGAAGATTTTTATTTCGTGGGTTAGGTTTATTCCAACATATCTTCTTTTCTTTTTCTTTGGGTGGGAGTATAGGTTTAGTGAATGAGAATTTCTTTGTTTTTGCTGTATAGGAAAACACTAATTTTTGTTGATATTTGTATTCTTTTTTTCTGGTGAAGTCCTTTGGGTCTTTTATATAAAAAAGTCAAATTTTCTGAAAACAAGTATTTATTGGGATAATTGTATAATTTCTGTCTTTGAGTTTGTTTATGTGGTAAATTACATTTATTGATTTATGTATGTTAAACTGTCCCTGCATATGAGGGATGAAGTCCTGATTATTGTGATGTCTTTTTTGTAAGTATTGAGACATTTTGCATCTATGTTCATCAGTGGGCTATCATTTTCCTCCCTCCCTTCCTCCCTCCCTCCCTCCCTCCCTCCCTCCTTCTTCCCTCCCTCCCTCCCTTCCTTCCTTTCTTCCTTCTTTCTCCCCCCTCTTTCTTGTGCCTTTGTCTGCTTCTGATATCAAGATCATATAAACTAACAAAATTAATGCAATATAAGATAAATAATTTAAGTATATCTACAACAGATGATGAAATTGATAGTAATTAAAAAACCTCCCAACTTCAAAAAGCCTATGTCCAAATGGATTTATTTCAGATTTCTACCAAGGTTTTCAAGAAGAAATAATAGTAATGTTTCTCAAATTATTGCATTAACTAGAGAGAGAAAGCCTCCAAATTTCTTTCACAAAGTCAGATTGCTGCTCTTCAGGAAGACTTAGGTGTACATAGGTGTAGTTGATGAAGTTAATTACTGTTCTGTGTTTTCAACCTTGTTATTTTGGTAGGGTGACTCCTTCCTTCTACTTGGAATTTTAGAAATTGAGACACATGCAGTGAGAAGCATGTATCTTAAAAGAAAACATTTTACCCAGAAGCTTTATTGTTTTTTCTTGAGGTAAAGCTTCAAGTATTGAATATGTCCATCAGGAAACATCTAAAGAAATTATTTTCTACCATGTTTTATTCTGTTTTCCTCTTTTAATAAATACAATATAAATGTCAGTCCTAGAGAAAAACATACAACCATCACATTTGCCTTTCCTTCTAACAGGTCTGGCTTTCTCTAAGCCGTACTTGGTCACATTTCTCGAGCAAAGACAAGAGCCCTGGAATGCGAAGGGATCAGCACCCATCGCTGTGCTCCCAGGTATGTGGGAATGAGAGGGTCAGAGCACATAAGCGAGAGACCCAGAGATGCTGCAGAGGGGCAGGAACTGAGAGGTGGATGGATGGATTAGAGGCCTTACATCTCTCAGAGGAGGACATTTTCCAACAGATGTTTTTTATGCTTTTATTTCCTCATATCTGTCCTTCCATTCAAGTGATGTCTGCGTGCATTTCCAGTGACAAAAAAAAAAAAAGTCTGTCCTGTTGTAGGCGAGGGTCTGGGCCATCACAGCCTTGTCATTGCTTTCTATGCCTCAGCAGCTTATACACAGTTCTAGCAACTTCTGTGTCAAGCCTTTATAGAAAAGTATCACCACAAATAAATTTCTCTAATTACATTTATATGCTTAGTAATTAAAGTTGTCCCATCAGATTTCTTTGTAAATTATTATAGTTTATAAATTGTTATAGTGTATTTCTGTGAATTTATCTGCCATATGTTGATTGTCAATGATTTATGATTTACAATGCATTGTTTTTGTGGGTATGCGATAGCAAAAAGTTATACATAGGTAGATATTGGAGAATATTTGTACACTCTATGAAGATGCATTGCTGTGATTGTTATAATAGAGAGCTGAATTTAATTTAAGTTATAAGAACTAGGTAGAAACAAGCCCAAGCTACAGGCTGCACTTTCATAATAGATAAAAAGTCTCTGTGTCATTATTTGGGAGGTGGCAGGACAGAGAAAGACTCAGTACACAAAAGGTGAGACATTTTGGTTACATTCTGATGCGCCCAAGACTGCCAATAAAGTTGACTTTGAATCAGGTCAGAGTCTGGCTGACCAAAATTAGCCAAAGAGGTTTTGGAGGACTGAGGACAAATAGAGACACGGGAATTAGTAGGGAGGGGCTGAGAGAGCATCTTGGCCCTTTTTTGATTGAGGAACAAGGGGGTGGTCACTAGCCTCTTTTCTGCTGCCTCTCTGATCATTCAGGTTCTTACCCTGATATCTGACTCCCAAGTTTTTATTGTTAAAGAATAGTTAAATAAAAGTTTCAGCTAGTTGAGTAATTTTAGTAGCTTACCAATAATCTTTCAGAATTTTCCTGAATTTGCAATTGCATTTTCTGTGTTTTACTTTTGTATCAGCTCCCTTATATTTGTTGATAATGTTCTTAAATATAACTTACATTATGATTGGATGACAGCTTTTAGTAGTGGGTTTTTAGGACAATGTAAGATAATAAATTGTAAGTCATGACTAGTTCTAAATGAAATTGATGTTCTGTTTTCAAATATTAAATACTAGTTCTGTATTTCATGCTTTGTGTCTTTGTCCTTCATTGGTTACTTAATAGTTGTTTTATCCTGCTAAATGAGTATTTCTAGAAGTTATAATTTCATAAACAATTGATAAATGTTGCCTTTACTGAAACTTCTGTATTTAAAGGTAAACTTGAACATCTTTTTTTTTTTTTTCAAGATTGGGTTTCTCTGTGGCTTTGGAGCCTGTCCTGGAACTTCCTCTGTAGACCAGGCTGGCCTCAAACTCACAGAGATCTGTCTGTCTCTGCCTTCTGAGTGCTGAGATTAAATGCCTGTGCTACCATCACCCAGCAAACTTGAACATTTTAAAATTATCTGATAGTTTTTGTTTATTTTAGCAGAGATTGAAAAATAATATAGCATGAAATTGCTGTCTTAAATTTTTGGGGCATTGTTCAAAATACTCAAATTGTTATGCATAGTTTAATTTTCAAACAATAAACATAGGAAAATAATTTTGTATTTTTTCTCTAGTCACCATTCCAGTAAGTGTTCTATGAAGTTCTCCATTTTAGAATTTTCATGTATCAGTTAATATCTGTCTTATGTAGTGGGCATATTTCATTATTTCCTTATCATAAATATTCCATTATTGTTTATCTTAAATGTGGTGTGTGTGTGTGTGTGTGTGTGTGTGTGTGTGTGTATGTGTACTGAAGGCTTCTGGTTCCTATGAAGGGCAGAAAACAACTTGCAGGATTCTGTTCACTGTTTCCACCATGTAGGTCCCTGGGAACGCCTTTATCCACAGAGCCAGTTCACTGGCTTGAGAGTACTGAAATTTTGAATAATGTTCCATTTCTTTTCAGTGGAAGTTGGCATTGTTTCACTTATTATATTTTTTTGACTTCTGCTGCAGTGAATACGGTTATGGGATCATGTTTATTTTCCCATTAATAAGAATACATTGCATTTGGAACTGCATCTATGGATGTAAGGATTCATATGAAAGATAAGCTTTATAATTATAGCTATGAGGTTAATCTTTTACTGATACTTCCACCTTCACTCAACAGGAATAAAACCTTGTAAATTTAAGGAATATGGCAAGACCATTCCTTGGAATTCACTTCTTATTCAACACCATAAAGCTCACCCTGGAGAAAAGCTCTACAAATGTGGTGAATGTGGCAAGGCCTTTAATGTTCGCTCAACACTTTATAAGCACCACAGAATTCATACTGGAGAGAAACCCTACAAATGTAAAGAATGCGGCAAAGCTTTTACGTGTTCTTCCAGCCTTAACCAACACCATAGAATTCATACTGGGGAGAAGCCCTACAAATGTGAATGTGGGAAAGCTTTTAATAATTCTTCAGCTCTCACACAGCACCAAAGAATTCATACTGGAGAAAGACCATACAAGTGTGAAGAATGTGGAAAAGCCTTTAATAATTGCTCGGCCCGTACGCGACACCAAAGAATTCACACTGGAGAAAGACCCTACAAATGTGCAGCTTGTGGCAAGACCTTCAATTTTCCCACATCCCTGTCTCAACACCAGAGAATTCACACTGGAGAGAAACCCTACAAATGTGAAGAATGTGGCAAAGCCTTTAACTGTTCTTCACATCTTAAACAACACCGAATTATTCACACTGGAAAGAAACCGTACAAATGTAAAGAATGTGACAAAGCCTTTAATTGTTCGTCCAGCCTTAACCAACACCGGAGAATTCATACTGGGGAGAAACGCTACATATGTGAGGAATGTGGCAAAGCCTTTAACAATTGCTCAGCTCTTACTCAACACCAAAGAATTCATAGTGGAGAGAAACCCTACAAGTGTGAAGAATGTGGCAAATCCTTTTATAATTGCTCAGCCCTTTCTCGACACCAAAAGATCCATACTGGAGAAAAACCCTACAAGTGTGCTGACTGTGGCAAGGCTTTTATTTTTCGCTCATCCCTTTCTCAGCACCAGAGAATTCACACTGGAGAGAAACCCTACAAATGCAAAGAATGTGGCAAAGCCTTTAACTGTTCTTCACACCTTAACCAACATGGAAGAATTCACAGTGGAGAGAAACCTTATAAATGTGCAGAGTGTGGCCAGACGTTCATCTGTTCTTCATACCTACATAAGCATCAGAAGATTCATGCTATCGAGAAACTCTACGAATGCAAAGAATGTGGCAAAACCTTTAGCTGCTCTTCATATCTTAAGTATCATCAGAGATTCCATACCGGGGGAAAATCGTACCCATGCAAAGAATGTGACAAAACCTTTAGGTCATCTTCATACCTTAGGAATCATCAGAGATTTCATACTGGAGAGAAACCGTACACATGCAAAGACTGTGACAAAGCCTTTGTTAATTCATCAAGCCTTCTAGTCCACCAAAGGATTCACACTGGAGAGAAACCATACAAATGCAAAGAATGTGGCAAGGCCTTTCGGTGTTCTTCTTATTTTAAGTATCATCAGAGACTTCATACTGGAGAGAAACCCTACACATGCAAAGAATGTGGAAAAGCCTTTGCTAAATCTTCATGTCTCATTCTACACCAAAGAATTCATACTGGTGAAAAACCATATAAATGTGCAGAGTGTGGCCAGGCCTTTATCTGTTCTTCATACCTGAGGAAGCACCAGAGAATTCATACTGGCGAGAAACCGTATACCTGTGAAGAATGTGGCAAAGCTTTTAGCATTTACTCAACCTTCACTCAACACCAGAGAGTTCATACTGGAGAAAAACCTTATAAATGCAAGGAATGTGAGAAAGCATTTAATAATCATTCTGCCCTAATTAAACATCAAAGAATTCATACTGGAGAGAAACCCTACACATGCAAAGACTGTAGTAAAGCCTTTAATAATAGCTCAAGCCTTATTCGACATCAACGAGTTCATTCTGGAATTGAAACTCTAGAAGTTCAAAGAATGTGGCAAGGCCTTTAGTAATAATTTAACTCTTAGCTTGAAAGACTCTTAGTAGTGAGAAAGTAAAATGGAAAAAGGTGATTAATATGTATATTATACATATACAGTGTAAAAATTCATGCATGGAAGAAACTCTACAAGTTCAAATAGTGTTGCAAATCTGCCATCTCTTCTTCATATCTTAATTGCTAGCAGAGGATTTGTATGGGAGCCCCCAAAATATAATGTGTCAAGGCTCTTAATGAAGGCTCACTCCTCATCAGGGAATTCGTGTTTCATAGAAATCGTAGCATTTATTGACTTTGGAAGGAACTCTGTCCAGGGTGTGAGCAAAGTAGTTATGCAGGAAGAAATTATGTAAACAGAGCAGAGCAGAACTCAGATCTTAATGGCTATGAGAATTACTATAGGTGGTTAATTTTTATGAATATATAGAACAATGTAAAAATAAAGTAAATATTGCCTATAAGTTATGGGACATTATCTATGGGACATTATGATAGAAATTATCACAGACAGAATCATGCACATAACTAATGTCAGTAAGGATATGAATTTGTGAATGAGACCATATTTACTATGTAGCCTCATGTTTGAAAACAAAACTTAACACAACTCTCAAACTGTGTTAAAAGAACAAGACTAGTTTCTGATTGATTTTAGTCTACTTTTCCCACAGAGACTATATAGTGGGTATAAATAGGGGTTCTGTGTAAATCTTCCTTCTTTAAATAAACAAACTTGAACAGCTTGTAGAGTAGTGTCTCTTTTTATTGTCCAACATATCCTATCAAAGACAGTAAAATATTCTACCTTATTGAGGGAGGTAGGTGACAGGATTCAGTTGTGTACTGCTGAGAATTATTTAAGTAACTGGTCACTGTATCCCAGATGCCAGTGTCTTTCAAATGATTTAGAGGATATTATTCCATATGTTACATATTTGTTAACACCCCCATCTTGTGGTAAATAGGAATTAAGGAGTTTTAGGAGGATAATTATGTTCTAGTTTTCTGAATCTTGAATTGTATTAGTATTTATAAAATTTCATTTTATATATATGTGCTACTCTTTTTACCTGCAAAACCCACTTAAATTTTGTTATTTATTACACTGAAATATCTTATTCTTAAAATCAAACTTTAGGAATTAAGAGACTAGAAACCCATGTGTATTTCCATGCTTTTATATAACGGTTGCTGGCCTGACCAGCAAGAATTAATATATTCTAAAAGAAATACCTGTTCTCCTCTCTTTGTCTTTCAAGATACTGAAACAATGGTTCTCAAAAAAATTAGAATTTTGCTAAGATCCTGCTGGGAGAAGAAAAAGCCCTGGGGCATCCACAGGATGCACGTATGTTTTTGAGGAAGACTTTGTTTGTCTGATAGCTTTGCTGAAAAGACTAATGCCAGAGAGATGGGTTGTGACCATGCTGGTCAGAGGACCACTTCTTGGCCTGACTGCATAGTTATGTGTCCATTTTGCCTTCTAGTTAAATCCTGTCTTTGTGTTAGGAGTCTGAAGATGGACTAGCAAATTAATGGATCTCTTTTTCCCTTTGTCCAGTGTGTCTACATTGAATAAATCATTGTGGGCATTTTTTTCTATTTATTGGGGTGTTACTTGACTTATCGTTGACAGATGACAGAACCTGGGTAGTTGTGACACAGGCTGCGAGAAGAACGGGGAATTATTGAAATAAAAGTTAATTTTTAAATAGTTGGCAGTGCTTAGGAAACTATTAACCACTTTTTTTCTGAAAATGAAAGATACATACCACACACACACACACACACACACACACACACCACTCCACAAATTCTCCAAAATGACACGGTTAATGGCTTTAATTCTCTTATTGCTAATTCTCATATCTTACATGAGGAATTATGCATCACCTAATATATAACTTTGTCAACATTCACAAAGTGTGATTCGGCCAGCTAAGTGCTTTTATGAATATTTTAATATTATTTAATGGCTTTCAGAATTTACTTTAAAATTCCAGAGTTTCCACATGTGGGTACATTGCCTTTTCATCATTATTTTATTTTTAACACCACAATTTAAGTCATTCTTTTACTTGTTCCCATCAGTTTGATAAGGTAAATCTTAATATTCAGTAAGTTTACTGAAGCAGTTCATTCTGGTGAGAACTAGGAAGGCTCCGTGTATCATGGGGTTTGTGCATAGGTGGAAGAATCACAGGACAGGCACACAGAGGAAGGTGCACAGGGTTAGGAAGCTCCACAGGCCCTGGGCACAGTGGGAAGGGCGGAAAGATCACGCCAGGGAAGGTGGGAGCAGCAGATAGCTGAGGCTACTGTGACGGAGCCACAGGTGTGCGGAAAAGACAACCGTTTGTTTCCTCTCGTTTACCTTAGGAGAGAATTGTTGTAAGAGAACCCATGTGACATCTCTCCCACAGCTCAGGGTCTCGAGACAGAAATGAAAGCCAGGACAAAAGGAATTTCTGAGTTATTTTCTGGGGATATGTAAAAGTGATGTCTAAGTATAGGGTACAGTTATACTTTAATGTACCACTAGCCAGTCAGTATTCTTGACCTCAGAGTGGGATCAAAAGGTGAAGTTTTGTTACAAAGGAAAATAGGATTGGTGATCTGGCTTTTTCTTTAGAGTCTGAGTACCGAACTTGTACCAGTTTTTTAGAATACAGCCCAGGATTGACTTCTGAGGGATCTGTAGGATCCATTGCAGTTCCTACTAGAGATGCAGTGATTTCCATAAAAAATGTCGTTCAGGGTGTCTGCCATATGCTGGTATCGGGAGTGAAATCCAGACTCATAGCTTGACTTGAAAATGTCCATTCAGGTTGTCTACCATATGCTGGTATCGGGAGTGAAATCTAGACTCTTAGCTTGACTTGAAAATGTCTATTTAGGCTGTCTGCCATATGCTGGTATCGGGAGTGAAATCCAGACTCATAGCTTGACTTGACTGAGGTGTGCTCAGAAGGGGAGACCCCATGCAGAGAGATCTCCTGACTTCTGGGTAGGAAACCCAGATCCAAACACATGGTTGCTCAGAACAGAATACTCTTTATTTTTCGAGACAGGGTTTCTCCGTAGCTTTAAATAGGTATTTACAGACTTCATTTAATTCTTAGACAGTTCCATACATGTGAGTTACTCTTTACCTTTTTCTTCCTTGTTTCCCTCTCATGCTTATCACTCACCTTCCTCCATACTGGGCTCTCTGCCAGATGCAAGACTGTACTGGCTTTTGGTTTTGGTTTTGTCAACATAACACTCCCAGATAGCTGGGAAGGGGGAAGGGGAATCTTAATTGAGACGGATGCCTCAATAAGCCTGACTTAGAGGCTGCTCTGTGGGCCATTTTCTTGATTAAAGATTGATGTGGGAGGACTCAGCCCATTGGGGCTGGTGCCAGCTATGGAAAGGTGGTCCTGGGGTGTATAAGAAGGCACACTGAGCAAACCCTGGAAACAGGCCAATAGGCAGCATTCCCGCATGGCTTCTGCCTAAGTTCCTGGCTCCATGTTCCCGCTGTATTTAAGTCCCTTCCTTGATGAATGGTGTTATGGAAGAGTAAGCAAAATAAAACCCTTCCTCCCCAAGTTGGTTTTGGTCATGGTGTTTTATCACAGCAAAAGAAACCCCAACTAAGACAGAAATGGGTACCAGGAGTCAGGTATTTATGTGATTAGCTTGACCATGTGTTTGGGAAGATTGTGGAAAGACTTTAGCCCTTTGAACCAGAATAATCATCCATTGTTCAGGGCTTAATGAACTATTTTTAGAACTTAGAAAATAATGTTGACATCAGTGTAGATGATGGATGTCTGGCTTGTGAGATTTGAGAAGGAAGTTTTGAGAATTTCTTAAAAACTCTCCTGGGGCCATTTGCTAATTTGAATTAAGATTCTATAGTTGGAAACGAGATATGAGTGAGTACATCCCATGTTCCTCTTTTTAGGTCTGGCTTACCTCACTCAGGATAGTGTTTTCTATTTCCATCCATTTGCATGCAAAATTCAAGAAGTCCTTGTTTTTTACTGCTGAGTAGTACTCTAATATGTATACATTCCATACTTTCTTCATCCATTCTTCCATTGAAGGGCATCTAGGTTGTTTCCAGGTTCTGGCTATTACAAACAATGCTGCTATGAGCATAGTAGAGCATATACTTTTATTGTATGATAAGGCCTCTCTTGGGTATCGGGAACTCACCAAGGCCAGCTGGCCTGGATCTGAAAAAACCTGGGATAAAACCGGACTCACTGAACATAGCAGACAATGAGGACTACTGAGAACTCAAGAACAATGGCAATGGGTATTTGATCCTACTGCACGCACTGGCTTTGTGGGGGAGCCTAGGCAGTTTGGATGCTCACCTTACTAGACCTGGATGGAGGTGGGTGGTCCTTGGACTTCCCACAGGGCAGGGAACCCTGATTGCTCTTTGGGCTGACGAGGGAGGGGGACTTGATTGGGGAAGGGGGAGGGAAATGGGAGGCAGTGGCAGGGAAGAGACAGAAATCTTTAATAAATAAATAAATTAAAAAATTAAAAAAAAGATTCTATAGTTGCCGTTAGTTGAGGTTTGAATAATTTCTTGTAATTAATGAGTAACAAGATCAAACAAAGTGAAGCCTGTATTCTGCTAGGACAATCAATACTAGCAAGCTGGGCCTGAACAATCAGCTGTGATTCAGAGATCATCACCATCCCTGAAGCAAAATCTGGTTCATGTTTCCTCAGAGTCAGCACACAGAAACTGTACCAGAGGTAGCCAAAGTTGCAGCTCATGCTAGCAACTGAACTTGCTAATGTTCATGTTTCACAGGTGATTCTAGTTTTGAAGGCACGAGGGGATCACGGAGAGCAGCTGAGGCTTGGTACTGTGAGAGGCCAGGAAAGGGCATTGGTGAAGCTGTGCTAGAAACCCCAGTATTCACAGGGTCATAAAAATGGAGGCTTGGCGCCAGTTGGCAGTGTCTCGCTTCCTGAAGAGAGCCAAAAGAAGCTATTAGTAAAGATTCAACCAGTTGCAGTACAGATTCAAACATTTTTAGATGCCAGTACTAGGGGAAGCCCAAGAAGCAACTGTGGAAGAGTAGACACCCTGAGCCCACAGACAAGTAGTATTTGCTACGGGAGGTAGAGCCAGTGAAAAAAATAATTTAGGGCCAGTGGGAAACAGGAACTTCTAACCGTCCCAAGAACAGATGGGACCTTCAGATATATCCTGTGCTTTTTCCAGAAGAGAAAAATACCTCCCCTCCGCACTAGAAAATGAGCTCATGGAAAGTTCCCAAACTCTGTCCCTTTGTGTTCTCGGCTAGACCAATCGCTGTTAGCAAAATATGCTTATGATAATTCTGTGGCTTTGCTCTATGGAGTTGGCTTTCATTGTTTTTTTTTTTTCTTACTTTTTGGTAACTCTTCTTCACGTATAGTTTTGTCAATATAGTTAACTTTGGTTGGCATGTTTCAACTTAACCAAATTTGTTTTCAAAAAATCAAGAAGCCAACAGTGGAATCATACCATAAAGAAAAAGATCTAATTTCATTACTACAAAGCAATCAGATTTGTGTTCTCCAGGATTTTCTCACTTAGATTATTTTCTCTACCTTTTTGGGATCTCAGAACTTGTGTTGGATTTTAAATTATAGGGGCATGGTGTTTCAAAGAAGAGAGTGAAGCTATGAGAAAGGGGAGACACTGAGAGCATCTAAATGCCAAAGCTTTGCTGCCTCTAGAGCA